AGGTCAGCTGGAGCTACAGGACCCTGTCTCAAAAATACAAAAAAAAAAAAAAAAAAAAAAAAAAAAAAAATAATTTAAAAAATGGAGTTCTAGGTTGGGCAATCTTTGGATGTGATGGTACATGTTTTTAATACCAGGCAGAGGCAGGTGAATCTCTGAGTTTGAGGCTAGCCTGGTCTACATGATGAGTTCCAGGCCAGTTAAGAGTTGCACAGCAAGAATCCTCAAAAAAAAAAAAAAAAAAAAAAAAAAAAATATACACATAAAATAAAAATGAATAAAATATCCTTAAAAAAATTAAATAAGCTGGGTGTGGTGGTGCACTCCTGTAGTCCCAGCACTTGGGAGGCAGAGGCAAGTGGATCTCTGTGAGGTCGAGGCCAGCCTAGTCTACCTAGCAAATTCCAGGCCAGCTAGGGCTACAGGGAGACCCTGTCTCAAAAACATCAAAAACAAAAAACAAAAGCAAATAAAAAAATTGAATAAGGGGGCTGGAGAGATGGCTCAGCGGTTAAGAACACTGACTACTCTTGCAGAGGACCTGGTTCGATTCCCAGCACCCACATGGCAGCCACGAACCAGCCTTAACTCCAGTTTCACGGGAATCTGAAGCCCTCTTCTGACTTCCCCGGCATTGCAAGACAAGGATGCACTCACATACATGCAGGCAGTACACTCATACATATAAAATAAAAATAATAAATAAAAAAATTTTAAATGCTAAAAAATTTAAATAAACAAATAAATAAATAAATAATAAATCAGCCAAGTGTGGTGGCCCACACCTTTAATCTCAGCACTTGGAAGGCAGAGGCAGAAGAATCTGTAAGTTCCAGGCCAGCCTGGTCTACATACATAGCAAGCTCCAGGCCAGCTGAGGCTACAGGGAGACCCTGTGTCAAAAAGACAAATAAATAAATAAATAAATACATACATAAATAAATAAAGCAAGTAAGCAAACAAGCACTGGGAGGCAGAAGCAGGCAGAAGTCTGTGAATTCAAGGTCAGCATGATCTGCATAGGAAGTTCCAGGCCAGTCAGAGCTATATAGTAAGACTTTGTCTCCAAAACACCCATAAATTAATTAATTCATCTTCAAGACACATCTGAGGATGTGGCCCGGGGTATGTAGAGTATTGGTCTCGTACGCAGGAGGCCTAAGGTTATTAAAAACAAAACAAAACTCAACCTTCAGTTATCTTAAACCTTTTAAATTCTGGGCCTTTCTTGCCCTGGAGAAACTGCTGAAAGCATGTAATGTTCTTGTAGAGCACCTTAGTTTGGCTCCCAGCACCGATACAAGGCAACTCACACCTGCCAATAATTCCAACTCTAGGGGATTCAATGCCCTCTTCTGGCCTCCACAAGCACCCACATGCATAAAACCCCACAAGTATATACACATTTAAATATAAATCTTGAACAAAAACCCTAGTTTTATAACCATATACAGTTTGAGAAGCATTAATGCAGAGGACCAAGTTCAGTTCTCAGTACCCTACATGTCAACTACCTACCATCCATAACTCTAGTTCTAGAAGATACGATGTTCTCTTCTGGCCTCCGCAGTCACTGCATACATTAGTACACGCACATACATGCAGGCAAAACATACACATAAAATAAAAATAAATCAGGCCAGGCGTGGTGGTGCATACCTTTAATCCCAGCACTTGGGAGGCAGAGGCAGGCGGATCTCTGTGAGTTCAAGGCCAGCCTGGTTTACATAGTGAGTTCTAGGACAGCTGGGGCTACAGAGAGACCCTGTCTCAAAAAGACCAAAGAAAAAGAATTCAAAAGGAGGAAGACACCAGCCAGCTGGCAGACATGCACTCAGAGGATATCCCTCCAAAGGGAACAGGTTTCCTGCAGCCTCAGCCAGCACGCATTATCCTTAAAGCAGCAGCTGCCTCTTTTTAAAGCAATGGAAACATCCTAAGACTGATGAAAATTATGGCCTGTCAGAAAAAAAAATTTTATATAAAGCAAAATTAATATAATCTTAGCAAATTTATGAAGATCATTCACACACAAACCCCAAGCTTGAGAACTCTTGATTATTCTTGAAAGGACACATAGAAATTAATACTTGTGGTTTTGTGTGAGACACGTCAGCACATGTCTAAGCCCAGCACTTGAGAGCAGAAGCAGAAAGGCAACTGTAAGTTCAAAACCTGATCTTCAGATCCAGGCCTGCCAGGACTACATGGTGAGACTCTGCCTCAGAAAAATCAAAACCAACCATATAGCCACCCAACCAAACAAGACAAGGAAAGAGTCTGGGGAGAAAAGTAGGCAAGGGTTTTGGGGAGAAGGAATATATACTTTGAATCACATGCCTTTTTTTCCCCTATATCCTTTTGTACTAATATACTCATTAACAGGTGCATGGTTTGCCTTTTCAAAGAGAAAAGTTGAGCTAGGTGTGTAATGCATTCAAAGAGTATTTGTGTAGCACACATAAGGCCCTGCGTTCAACCCCCAACAAGGCAAAGAAAAATACATAATAAAAATAGAAAAGAAAAATTACTTAAAAACAAAAAGTAACTGACATTCATGGCAAGTCTCAATCATACCTTATCAGTGAAGTAAGAAAGCTCTTTCATTCCACTAATGACTCTACTTTTCTGAAGTTTTCCACTAAGAAACAAACATATTCTCTCCTGCCCCTTAGTCCCCTCCCCACCAGGCTAAATTCCCAGCAGTCCTCCTGCCTCAGTCTCCCAAGTGCTGGGATTACAGGTATAAACCATCATGTCTGGCTTAACTATTTTAAAGAGGAAGACACAAGAGGCACAGCACACCTGTAATCTCAGCAATCAGAAGCAGGAGGATCACAGCAAGTTCAAGGCCAGTTTGGTCTACACAATTGATTCCGGGCCAGCCGGGACTACATAGAAATCTTCCTGCCTCTGCCTCTTTTTTTTTTTTTTTAAATATTTTACTTATTATTTTATGTGTATGCGTGTATTGCCTGCATGTAGGTAAGTGCACCCATGTTGTACAAGCCCGCGGAGGACAGAAAAGGCTGTCGGATCCCCTGGAACTGGAGTTACAGACAGTTGTTAGCTGTCATGTGGGTGCTGGGATTCGAACCCGGGTCTTTTGCAAGAACAGTCAGTGTTCTTAATCGCTAAGCCATCTCTCCAGCCCCCTGCCTCTGCCTCTTAACTGCTGGGACTAAAGGCATGTAACCTAACGCCCAGTGAAAAATAAATGTTACACAAAAATAAAAAACCTTGGCTCCCAGTGAAGACAGGTTCCTTCAGAAGCAAATCCTGACACAAATAGAAAGACAAAAGGATTCCAGAAGGCGGCAGTGTACAACAGAAAAGAGCAGCAGCATAGGGCCAGGAGCCAAGGAGCATGGACTACACATTGCTCTGGATTTCTGACCATCAGAACAGTAACAGACCTGGAGACTGCTTAAATGAAAACAAACAAAAAGGGCAAGGTTCTTTTGTTTTGTTTTGCTGAAATAGGGTCTCCCTGTAGCCACAACTGGCCTGTAACTTGCTATGTAGACCAGGCTGGCCTCAATGTCACAGAAATCCACCTGCCTCTGCCACCCAAGTGCTGCTGAGATTAAAAGTGTGTGCCACCACAGGATATAAGACTCTTAAATATGTAAACAATCATCCCTCAATATGGAGTGATAGATTCCAAGACCCCCTTGGATACCAAAATCTGTGGATGCTAAGGTCCCTTAAATTAAAAGGTTATACAGCATTTGTATAGAAGTGTATCTTTTCGTATACTTTAAATCATCTCTAGTTTTACTTATAATACCTAAAATAACATAAATGATATATAGTTGGTACAATGGAAAGAAGAAAAGGTCTGCACATTTTCAGTGTGGACATAATTTGTTTTCCAAGTATTTCAACCCATGGTTGGTTGACTCTGTTGTTACAGAACCTGCAGCTGTGGAGAGTTGATTATGTAATTTGAATCATCGGTATGAATGAATTTCAGTCTAAATAGAAACTCAGATCCCTATGTTCTCCAGGATCACCAAGCAGGCAAATCCTGAACCTTACAAGGGGCAGAGCAGTACATATAAATGAATAGAAAAGAGAATCAGGAAAGCTGAACCCAGTTTGCTTATTCCATAACTGCTTGTTGTTAGCATTCACCCTTGGATAAAAAACAAACAGAACAGCTGTTCAAAGTGATTTTATGACTTTAAAAAAAGTATGTATTTGTTATTTTTATTTTATGTGTATGCGTGTATTGACTGCGTGTAGATAAGTGTGCTGGTGTCGTGCAATGCCCGAGGAAGACAGAAGAGGCTGTCAGATCCCCTGGAACTAGAGTTACAGACAGCTGTTAGCTTCCATGTGGGTGCTGGGATTTGAACCTGGGTCTTCTGCAGGAACAGTCAGTGTTCTTAACCGCTGAGCCATCTTTCCAGCCCCGATTTTATGACTTTTTATACAGACAAACAATGTGAATACAAATAAATTATGATGACTTTATAAGCTCTCCATGAGGATGAATGACCTGAGTTGGGCATTTTTGTTTTTGTCACTTAACTGAAGAACCTTCTATAAAGCTGTTATAAAGAACAAGTACAGGGGGCTGGAGAGATGGCTCAGCAGTTAAAAGCACTAGCTGCTCTTGCAGAGGATCTGGGTTTGAATCCCAGGACCCACATGGTGGCGAACAACTGTCTGTAACTCCAGTTCCAGAGAATCCAACGACCTCTTCCGAGGCACTGTACAACATGGTGCAGGCAATACACTCATACACATAAAATAAAAATAATAAAATATTAGCTGGGTGTGGTGGCACACACCTTTAATACCAGCACTCAGGAGGCAGGCAGATCTCTGAGTTTGAGGCCAGCCTGGTCTCCATTAGCAAATCCAGGCCAGCTGCAGCTACAAGAAAACCTTGTCTCAAAAAGAGCAAAAAAATAAAATAAAATATTAAAAAGAAAGACTGAATGAACAAACAAGCACAAAAGTTACTAACATATCCACAAAAGTTCACTTACTTGCAAAATATGTGGTCACACTTTGTGGATACTGGTTCTTGGATCAATTCCAGACTAGAAGAGGGGGACAAAAAGAGAGCAATAAAATAAATAAGGCTAAATATGTTGTTTACAAATTAATTTTTTAATTTTTTCTTTTTTTTTTTCTTCTCAGACAGGGTCTCCCTGTAGCCCCAGCTGTCCTGGAACTCACTATGTAGACCAGGCTGGCCTTGAACTCAGAGATCCGCCTGCCCTTGCTTCCCAAGTGCTGGGATTAAAGGCATGCGCCACCACGCCCGGCCTACAAATAAATATTTTTTAGTAACAAAGTTCAACCTTAAGTTGCTGGAACTAAGCCAAAGTAAACCTTTAAGTTCCTTTACTACTTAACTAAATGTCTCCATGTTAGGAGTTAGGAACTCAGGGAAAAACACTATCCTCTCACTGAGCTTTCAGAAACCTTAACAGAAACACTGACCTCTTCTGTGCTCTGTATTATTTTTAGCATTTAAAAGATTAGCTAGGCTGTCAATGTAGCTCAGGAGAATACCTCCCAAGCATGCTCAAGGCCCTGAGTTTGATTCCTAACATCACATACACAAAAAATCTGCTATTTCACATTATTTTTACTTTTTTCAGCTAGGATTTTGAGTGCGTATCTTGCAATATTAACTACATTCTAAACTCCAGAGACAAACTTATGCCTGGTGTGTAGTACGTACATCCTTATAATTCCAAAACTTGGAAGGTAGAAAGAGAAGGATGAAGAATTCAAGGCCAGCCTACGCTACATGAAACCCTGTCATTATAAAATAAACTAGGAGCTGGAGAGACGGCTTAGCAGTTAAGAGTGCTTGCTGTTCAGAGAACTCAAGTTAGGTTCCTAGGACCCACTGCCAGGCAGTTCACAAGCCCTCCAGCTCCAGGGGATGAGACATCTTCTGGTCTCCAAGGGTACCTGCACTAATGTGTTAGCACACCAACACAAACACACTTAAAACATATTTTTAATTAATTAATTAATTAATTTTTGGTCTTTTTGAGACAGGTTTCCCTGTAGCCCCAGCTGGCCTAGAACTCACTAGGTAGACCAGGCTGGCTTCCAACTCACAGAGATATGCCTGCATCTGCCTTCCGAGTGCTGGGATTAAAGGCATGTGCCACCACACCTGGCTCTCCTTCCATCTTTATTTAGGTCATAGGGATCAAACTGAAGTCACCAGGCTTGCCCAATTAAGTGTGATAAAATCTCACTTCAGCCCTCCTAGAATATGAATCATCTCTTTGTGCAGTATTAACCCCCCACTTCTTTTTTGGTCTTTTGTGACTGAGTCTCCCTGAGGCTCCACCTGGCCTAGAACTCACAATGTAGACTAGGCTGGCCTTGATCTTACAGAGATACTCCTGCTTCTGCCTCCCAAGTACTGGCATTAAAGGCATATGCCACCACACCCAGCATTTAATCACCATCTTGAGTGTGTATGTGGTGCCTGGGATTGAACTACAGCCTCACTCTTGCTAGGCAAGTGTTCTTCCAATGAGCTACAGTCCTGCCCCTCTTTTTGTCCAGTGTATCCAGGCTGTATTCAGTATCTGCTGACAGGTCAGCCACTTAGTAGAGGCTGTGTTATCAAATCATGTTAGGATATAGAAGTGTTTGTGTTCAAGTATCCTTTATTTTATTCAATATGGCCCCAATGGGTAACACTGGTGGATGATGGTAGTCTTTTTCCCTGGAAAAAGGTCACTATGTAGCCCAGGCTGGCTTCTAACTCATGAACCCCAAGTCAGGCTCCAAAATGTGTGCTGGTAATATGGATATGACAAACTAAAGCCATTAAGTGTTTCCTTTAAATGAAAAGGTTTAAGTTTGGGGCTGGAGAGATGGCTCAGCAGTCAAGACCCATCTTAACTGCTCCTCTTGGAGAAGACCTGGATTCAATTCCCAACACCCACATGGCAGCTAACAATCATTCATAACTCCAATTACAGGAGAATCTGTCGCCCTCTTCTGACCTCCACAGGCACTGTACATGTGTGCAAACCATTCATACCAGTCATGGTGGTGCATGCCTTTGGTCCCACCACTCAGGAGGCAGAGGCAGGCTGATCTCTGTGAGTTCAAGGCCAGCCTGGTCTACATAGTGAGTTCCAGGACAGCTGGAGCTACAGAGAGACCCTGTCTGAAAAAGACCCCCCAAAAAAAACACTCATAAAAATACATAAAAATCCAGACCATTTATTTATTGGGGTATGCACACGCTTGCCATGCCACACATGTGGAGGTCGGAGGGTCAACTTATGGCCTCAAGGGATCAAATAAATTAGGCTTAGCAGCAAGTGACTTTGCCTACTGAGCCATCTTGCCAGCCCCCACCTCACAGCACATTTTTTGGCACAGGATTGTCTTTGTAACTCTATGTGAAAAAGTTCAAGCATCTGCACAAGGAAAATAGGAAAATGAACTACATGTACCATCATTCAGAAATAAGACATAAGTGTTGAAAGATGAAACAGGACAAAAGGACACGGAGTGCAATGTGCATGTGATAGTGGATATATATAGCGTGGTGATAAAATGCCTCAGTGAGGAAGTGACATTGGAGGATCGCTGAGTAATGGGAGGAAACAAGCTGTGCAATATTAGAGGAAAAGCATCCCAGGAGAGGGAGCAGAAAAACTAAATTGAGCAGGGCCAAGCCTGGTGTTTGTGTAGGGTAGCACACAGGGCAGTGTACTAAGAGAATAACTAAGGAGGCCCAGAGCCCAGATATGTAGGAAACTTTGGCTAGTTTATCTTTGGCTTTATTATGAGTGAGCTTAAGACAGGGTTTTGATGGTAAAGCTCATGCAAAACAGTAGAGATACGCTGCTACTGTGAGAGAAATATGGGCCTGTCATTAAATGTTTAACTCTTCAGAAAAGGATTTACAAGAAAAGCAGGGACACAATAGCCTGTTGTAAAGGGTTTGGCTTAATGCAACTCTTATGGTCATGGGGTTTCTGACGCAGCTCAGGGCAATGAAAAGAAAAACATCTGGCCACGTCAGAAGGCCAGGTTTCTATTACTGGGCTCTCTTTTCATTAGCAGAGCAACCCCAGGCCATGAACCTCAGTTTCTTCCAGTTACCCATCTTAGCAATCTCCTGGAACTATTGTGAGAACATAACAATTCCCACCAAAAAAAAAAAAAACCTGATTTGTTACTAAATCACTATTTCTAAGACAAGCTAGATATCAAAGGAAGTTCTTAGTAAAAGAGAAATTGGATTGCGTTATGATACCAGATGGCTTCCATTCTCAACCCTGACTCAATTCTGAAATAATTATATTTCAGTCTGGTAATTATGATCCAAGCTATATAAACATTCTGTAAACACAAACTTTGAACATATGAAAACTCCCATATGTAAAAAGGTAGTAACTGCTGAAGGAAGAGCTTGATGACAAACAGGAGTGAAAATGAAAAAAATGATGAGTAAATGTTTACGATAAAATTCAAAAATTTTAAACGCTTTCACACTAGGCAATATTTTTAGCCTATTGCATATTTGTATTTTAAGCTTCCAACATGATAAATCACTGAAAAAAGCTAGGTTTAGAATCAACAAACTACCAGGGTACATATTTCAGCATATTCTTCTCAAAGTAAAAAAATGTACATAGTCATATATAAAAAGGTAGAAAAAGCTGGGGATGGAGAGATAGCTCAGCGGTTAAAAACACTGACTGTTCTTGCAGAAGACACAGGTTCGAATCCCAGTACCCAAAGGCAGCTAACAACTGTCCATAACTCCAGTTTCAGGGGATCTGACAATCTCTTCTGTCCTCTGCAGGCATTGCATGACATGGGTGCACTTACCTACATGCAGGCAATACACTCATACACATAAAATAAAAATAATTTTTTTTTTAAAAAAAAAGGTAGAAAATGCTACCAAATAGCACAAGTAATTGCCAACTGAGCCAAGCATGTCTGAGACAGTGTATACCTGTGGTTCCAGCTACTTAGGAGGCTGAGGGGGACAGGTCACCTGAGCATAGGAGTTGGAGACCAGTCTGCAACACAACAAGATCCCATCCATCTTCAAACCCCAGTCCCAAAGACAAAAATGAAACTGCTATGGAGAACAGCAGAAAGAATTTAATTCGAGAGACGTAAGAGAGCTGAGAATCTACCCTACAGCCGCCTCAGCTAACAGTTTTTAGTCACAACCAGTAATCATTTATTAAAAACTAACTGCACGAGAAGGCTAGAGAGATGACTCAGCAGTTAAGAATACTGGCTGCTCTTACAGGGGACCCGGGTTAGGTTCTCAGCACCCACATCCTGGCGATCCAACACCCTCTTCTGGCCTCTGCAGGAAACACACACATTTAGTATACTTACATGCAGGCAAAACACTCATACATGTAAAATAAAAATAAGTAAAATTAAAAAAAAAAAACTAGTGGCAAGGGCTGGGAGCAAAACTCAGTAGATTGTATGCCTGGCACATATACGCCTTGGGTTCAGTTCCCAGCAACACACACACAGGGGAGGTGAAGCCATAACAAAAATTATGAAGGTTGAGACTATGGGTATAGCACACGCTGTCTAGCATACAAAGGCCCCAGGTTCAATCCCCAGAACTGCAAAACAATAATAAAGAAATAGGTTCAGTCCCACTTCTACAACTTTCCACATAAAAGAGCTTAATTTTTTTTGTTTTGAGACAGGGTCTCCCCTGGAAGAGACCTGGAACTCATTATGTAGACCAGACTGCCCTCCATCTTATAGACATATGCCTCCCTCTGTCTCCAGTTTGGGATTAAAGACATGTGTCACCACACCCTACCTTAAATGAGCTTAACTTTAACAAAGACTATAGTGAACACTCTTAGGTTAAAAAATATGAAAAGCTGCCAGGCGTGGTGACACACGCCTGTAGTCCCAGTACTTGGGAGGCAGAGGCAGGCGGATCTCTGTGAATTCAAGGCCAGCCTGGTCTACATAGTGAGTTCCAGGACAGCTGGGGATAAAGGGAGACCCTGTCTCAAAACGACAAAAAAAAAAAGAAAGAAAGAAAAAAACTCGGGGCTGGAGAACTGGCTCAGCAGTTAAGTGCACTGGCTGGTCTTGCAGAAGACCTGGGTTCAAATCCTAGCACCCGCATGATGGCTAACAATCATCCATAACCATCCTGTTCCAGGGGATCTGATGCCTTCCTCTGTCCTCTTTGAGCACTTCACAATACAGGTATACTTACCCACATGCAGGCATAACATTCATGCACATAAAATAAAAATAAATTTTAAAAGTTTGAGACGCTACTCTAGGGCTGCACTTGGAGGTTGAGACAAGAGGATCAAGCCTCTGAAACTGTCTCAAGAAAAAAAGAAAGCAAACAAAGCAAGAAAGTGCAGTAAGGAGCTAAAAAACGCTGAGCAGTTGACTGAAAACAATTTAGCAGTAACTTTCTTTCTTGCATCTTCCATGTATCTGAATTTTTTTAATTGATGGTTTAATTTGCCAGAATGAGAAAGAACATTACATTCTTATGACTGAATCCCATGGGAAGGTAAAATAAATGGACCCAAATGCCACACTACTGAAGACTTTTTGATCACTGTTTACAATTAAGTTTAGGCTTTTCAAAAGCAATCTTTCCCTTACAATGTTATTTCCTGCTTCTCTAGTTTTGGCATTTCATAAATTCAGTTGTAAATCTCATTTACATTCTGTTTTTGTTTAGCTGAAATGTTGAGGCGGTAGAGAAAGGACAGCAACCTATAAATCTTGTTATGCCTCTGAAAGCACAACTTGCATCTCCCTTCATCTTATTAACTTGACTCCAAATATAAATAACAACCTTTATGAATCCCAAAGGCAAATTTACTTAAATCCACCCTCTCTCATTGAAGATAAATGGGCAAAGAGTACAACTTTTCAATTTATTTTTTTGGACATGTTCAAATGTGGGTGTATTTGTGTATGCTCACGGGTATGGAGGCTAGAGATGATGTCAGGCGTCATCATCCTTAATTGCTTTCCACTTTATATTGAGACAAGGTCTCTCACTTGAACCCAGAGCTCACCAATTCAGCTAGTCTAGCTGGCCAGCTTACTCTGAGGATCCCAGCTCTGTCTCCCAAGTGCTGAGATTAAAGGTAGACACCATGCCCACCTGGCCTTCAGATGGATGCTGGGTATTCAAACACTGGTCCTCCTGCTTGCAAGGCAAGAGCTTTACCCATTGAGGCATCTCTCCAGTCCTCAATTGTACTTTCTGAAAACTGCCCACTAATAACCAATGCCTGGGGCTGGGTGCAGTTCAGGGATGTAACATATACACAGAATATAAGACTCCTCAAGTTCAACCCCCAGCACCAATATAATAAACTGTTGAAGAACCAAGTTAGTTTATCATTTATTAGTGGCCACTATATCCCTAGATACTAAATGCCGAAGGTAACATAAACTGCCCTCCAGGAGTTTACATTCTATAGGGAAGGAGAAAAAAATTAATAAATTATAAAGTATGTCATATACTAAATGTTATGAAAAAAAAGGATCTGTGTCTTCAACAAGTTGGTTTAAATAGCCAGGGGGAGGAGGGCACATGGTGGTAGACACCTCTAATCTCAGCCTTCAGGAAATAGAGGCAGGTAGATCTGAGTTTGAGGCCAGCCTGGTCTATATAGTATAGCCCAGGCCAGCCAGGGCTACAGGGAGACCCTGTGTCCTAGTTTGTTTCTTCATTGCTGTGACAAAATACTCTGACCAATACCAACTTGGGGAGGAAAGGGTTTATTCAGCTAACATCTCCCAGGTCACAGTTCATCAGGGAGCCCAAGGTAGGAACTCAGGGCAGGAACCTGGAAGCAGGAGCCAGAGCACAGGCCATGGAGGAATGCTGCTTACTGACTTGCTCCCCTGGCCTCTGCTCAGCCTGCTTTCTTATGCAACCCAGGTCCACCTGCCGAGGGATGGCACCACCCACAGTGGGCTGGGCCCTCCCATCACTCAACAATTAAAGAGCTCCATGGACATGGCCACAGGCCAGTCCAATGAAGGCAATTTCCCAATTGAGGCTCCCTCAACCCAGGTGTTTGTCAAGTTGACAATAAAGCTAACCAGCACACCCTGTCTCAATAAACAAACAAAAAAGGGCCACATGTGGTTCATACCTTTAATCCAGGCATTTGGGAGGCAAAGGCAGGCTGATATCTATGAGTTCCAGGCCAGCCTGGTCTACATAGAGAGCTCTAGGCCAGCTGGGGCTACAGGGAGACCCTATCTCAAAAAAAAAAAAAAACCCAGGAGGAATGTGTTGGGGTTGTTGCAATTTCAAACAGGGTCATCTGGAGATGCCTTCTGAAAAAGTGGTATATGAATCAACATTTTTTTTCTTTTTCTTTTTTTGAGACAAGGTCTCTGTGTACCCACAGCTGGTCTGGAACTCAGAGAGATCAGCCTGCCTCTGCCTCCCAAGTGCTGAGATTAAGGGTGCTCGCTACCACACCTGGCCTCTTTTTTAAAATTTAAGATTTTTATTTATGTGTGTGTATGCATGCACATATGAGGGTTCCTACAGAGGCCAGAAGCTCTGTAGCCCCTGGAGATGGAGCTGCCCAATGAGATGATGGGAATTGGAACTCTGGTCCTCTGAAACAGCAGCAAGCATTCTTAACCACTGAGCTATCTCTCCAGCCCCAAGCAAGATCTTCAAGTTATACAATTATCTGGATAAAAAGATGATCAGCAAACGAATATGAAGACTACTGGCTCAAAGGCAGAAGCAGAATATATAGCATGTCTGAGGAACAGTTAAAAGGCCAGGACTACAGGTCTAAATGCCCAGGCAGAGAATGTGAGGGGAGAAGGGAAGCAACAACTCTAATTTTCCTTTCCAACTTTTTAACCAAGAGATTCTGATACAGATTTTCATTTATTTCATAGACTTAAGAGAAACTATAGAGATCATCTAAGGACTGCTTAGGCTTCTTCTTAAAGATTTTTTTTGGGGGGGGGGTTCTTTTTGAGACAAGGTCTCCCTGTAGCCCCACCTGTCCTGGAACTCACTATGTAGACTAGGCTGGCCTCTGCTTCCCGAGTGCTGGGATTAAAGGCATGCACCACCATGCCCGACTAAGATTTTATTTTTAATTATGTGTGTCTATGTGGGAGCATGTGCACATGAGTGCAGGTGCCCAGAATCCTGAAGAGGGTGTTGGATCCTCTAGAATTGGAGTTCAGACAGTTGTAAGCCACCCAATGTGTGTCCTGCGAACCACATGAGCTCTTAAAAGTTGGGCCATGTCTCCAGTCCTTGCTTCAACTTCTTAACCTTTGTTATGTCAGGGACCCTCTTCCCAATGTATTTATTTATCATCTATTTGTACTGCTGAAAATTGAACTCCTTGCCAAAACCATGTCAGTCAAGTTGCTCAATCTGAACTAATGTCCAGCCCTGAATAATGCTTTTAAGTTCATTAAAAAAATAAAATTATTTTTGAGACAGAGTTCCATGTATCCCAAGCCCTCACAACTTGAAACTTCTGCTGAGATTACAGATGTTCACCACCAGGCCCTATTTATACAGCTTCCTGTACGCTAGGCAAGCACTCAACAAATAAGCTACATTCCCTGACCCAGTGCATAAAATTTGTTTTTTTTTAAATACAAAATTACACCAATACCCCCCACTAATCTCCAAAGGTCCCAGAAAGTTTGAAAATTAAGAACTGAGTACACAAAAGAACTTTCTAGGATAATAGAAATGCTCTATATTTAGGCTGGGTGTGGTGGCACACACCTTCAGTCCCAGAGGCAGAGGCAGGTGGACCTCTGGTGAGTTCAAGGCTGGCCTAGTCTACATAGTGGCTTCCAGGCCAGCTGGGGCTACAGGGAGACCTTGTCTCAAAAAGAAAAAAAAATGCTCTATATCTTGACTGGGGCTAGTTTCACTCATGGGTTCAACCCAGAGACAGATCTTCTCATAGATGCCAAGTATTTGTTATGTTATTTTGACATTAACTAAGGTCATTTCAAGTGATCAAGGTGGTCTTAGAACTGGAAGAAAAGCCCAAGTGCCACTTAATCCAAACCAGAATTCTGTTCTAGTATAGAACTCCAGATAGTCTCTGGATTAGAAACAAAAGAGTTGGGGCAGGGGGCAGAGTGGGGGGAAGAGTACTTTTCTCTATTTTTTAAGCTTTTCAGTTAAGAAAAGTAGAAAAGGCTATTGTGGTTTTAACAGATTTATTACATATTTTTCTGTCTATTATGTAAGTCACTTCTACTCACTGCAGGGAGCACGGGAGATAATTATACAAAGAAACTCTCAAATTAATAACCACTTCTCTTGACTTACCAGATTGGACACTCTAAGATTTTCTTCATAGTGCGGAGGACATTTTGTACTTCTTCAACTGCACATAAATCCATTTCTCTCCGTTCCTGTGAACTTTTAACATAAATTAAAAAACACATGTAATTAAGCTACTTTAAGAAGCTAGGCATGGTGGCACACCCCTTTAGTCCCAGCACTCAGGAGGTAGAGGCAGGCGGATCTCTTGAGTTCCAGGGACAGCTGGGGCTACAGGAAGACCCTGTCTCAAAAAGACCAAAAAAAAAAAAAAAGTTTTTTATCTGTCATTTTTTTTCTCTTTGTTTTTTAGGATCTCATGTAACCCAGGCTAGCCTTGCACTTACATGTAGTCAAAGCCAGTCCTGAGCCCCTGATCCTCCTGCCTCTACCTCCTTGGTGCTGGAATTATAGGGACTGGCCCCCTGCACTTCTCTTTTTAAAGGCAGGGTCTCACTCTGCAGCTCTAACTCATTATGTAGTCCAGATTGGCCTTCAGCTCTCAGTTATCTTCCTGCCTTAGCTTTCTGTGTGCTGGGGTTACAGGTATAAGCTACCACACCTGGTTGTCTTCTCTACATAAGATAAATTTAAGACTGGAATGCTTTAGAATTATATCAACCATAAAGCTGATGATAAATGCCTTCATTTAAAAAAAAATTCTAGGGGCTAGAGAGATGGCTCAGCGATTAAGAGCACTGACTGCTTTTGCAGAGGACCTGGGTTCGATTCCTAGCACCTACATGGCAGCTACGAACTGTCCTTAACTCCAGTTCCAGGGAAATCTGATGTCCTCTTCTGACCTCCCTGGCATTGCAGACGGATCTCTCTGAGTTCTAGGCCAGCCTGGTCTACATAGTGAGTTCCAGGCCAGCTGGGGCTACAGGGAGACCCTGTTCAAAAAACAGGAAAGAAGTACAAACAAGGGAGCTGGAGAGACAGCTCAGTGGTACTATTCTTCCAGGGGACTCGAGCTGAATTCCTAGAATCCACACGAGGCAGGTCACAACCGCCAGAAAATCCAGCAGGCAATACACACATACACATAAAATAAAAATAATAAATACGGGCTGGAGAGATGGCTCAGCAGTTAAGAACACTGGCTGTTCTTGCAGAAGACCCAGGTTTGCATCCCAGCACTCACATGGCAGCTAACAACTGTCCCTAATTCCAATTCCAGGGGATAAGATGGCCTCTTCTGTCCTCCGCAGGCATTGCACAACATGGGTGCACTTACCTACATGCAGGCAATACACTCATACACATAAAATAAAAAGTTTTTTAAAAATAAGAAAATTTTTTATTAAAAAATAAATAAAAATAAATTCTAGCCAGGCATGGCGTGCAAGTCCAGTACTCAGGAGGCAGAGGCAGGCGAAGCTCCAGGGGATCCGATGTTTCCGGCCTCTGCCAACACCCACACTCATGTACACAGACACTTAGAGACCCAAGGCTAAAAACAAAATAAAACCTTAAAAATGACATAAAATAAACCGTGCATGGTGGCGCTCGCCTTTAATCCCAGCACTCAGAAGGCAGAGACAGGCGGATCTCTGTCTCTGTGAGTTCAAGGCCAACCTGCTCTACATAGTGAGTTCCAGTACAGCTGGGGCTACAGGGAAAGCCTGTCTCAAAAAGACCAAAAATTAAAAAAAAATAAAAAAAAAATAAAATTAAAAAAAAAAAAACCACTAAACCCAGCAGAGCCAACGCCTCTATGCCCTACCCCTTCGTCTGGGTCCCCAATCACACAGCACTCACCTCGGGATCCTCCTCCAATGCGGCCTCTTTGCCAGCAGCATCCGTTGCTCCCTTCTAGAACCGTCGGAAAAAGGCATATGGATCTGGTTCTAACCGGTTTCCTCTAGCAAATTCCGCCTTTCCCTCCTCCCTGACACACTTCTGCCCCCTTCTCTTCCTTCCACTTAGCCCGGATTCCCTTTCAAACACCCGGTGGCCTCTACGGCAGAGAGCCCCCCCCCCCACAACGCACAAACTTCCCCGCGCTCCCAGGAGCACCCCTCGGTGTCCCCTCGGTTCCTCGGGGGCTGCAGCTGACCCACCTTCAACCAGAGGCACACAGCTGCACTTCCGGCTCGCGGGGCACAGGTACCACAGGCACCTCGGACTGCCAACGCTCCGTGGGTGGTCTTCGCAGGCCCACGCCGCGCAGCCGCAGTGACAATTAGTCGGAAATTCCCGCGCTCTTGGTCGCTATGGAAACTCAGCAGCTTGCCGCCAAGTGTTAGCCTCTAAGAACTCGAGATACAAAGACGTCAACGGAAGGGAGGGGCAGGAAAAAAAAAAAAAAAAGCCAAGAATCTTTCGTGGCTCCGGATTGGCCATCCATGTTTCCCCGCAAGACGTCTCTAGAAAGAGACGGAAGGGAGAGAATTCGGAGTTTTCCTGTTAGGCGTTGGTTCCACCTCCTGTACGGTTGCTTATTACGTCACAGTCATTGCTGTAGAAAGGTTCGGAATCACTACCTGTGGCCGAAATGTGAGCGCAAGGTAGTGCCCAAAGCAGTTTCAAGAGGCTCCATCCCTCCCCATCTCTGTCCCTGCAGTTTAGGTAAATAGCCTTGAGGGAAAAGAACTACAAGTTCCAGCATGCACTGCGGAACGAAAGGCCTTCTCTGAAGAGTCCCTTGGAAACTAGTCTTATAGCAAGGCGCTTTCGACACCGGAAGCGGGCATGATTATCTCAGCAACCCAATTAGTAGATCGGAGATCTCCTCGCGGATATGCAGGTTAACAGCTTTGGATTGCAGTGTTCTCCTTTCATGTCTTGCGCGCAGAGAATAGGCTAAAAGAAGCGACAAGTCCCAGGAAGACTACAATTCCCATCCGGCCCTTACTAGTCTGGTAACTAGTCCTTCAAGGTCAGTCAACGCTGGGGGCCGCCAATCGCCTTGGGAAGGGGAAATCCACTAGTTCCGCCCCTCGGCCTGGATGTTTGTTATTGTTGTGCGGTTCAGGTTGCTTCTGTCCCCGCCTCTGCCAACGCAGCGTTGACCAATCAATGGAGTGGTGATTTTGAGGGACAAATAGTAGGAGCCAATCATCTTGTCGGAAACTCAGAGAAACATGGGACTAGGCCCTGTTTCTGTCCGCCATGTTAGATTCACCCCGCAGGGATAGCCGCGGAGCTGGCAGCCAACGGTCCTTACACTGGTCGCCGGCAAGCGCCCCCCGTGGGCGGAAAGCTGGTAAGGAAGCCGCTGTGGTTACCTAGGATGGGGGTCACATCGTTCTTAGAGGACTCAAGGAAATTCAAGGGAGGAATCCTGCAAAGAGGGGTGACTTTTTCCGTGTCCAGGGGCAGTTAATCTTTTCAGTGACCAGAGAGCCGTTCGCGTTGTTCGGGACTGTGGGGGTGCTTACTGCCCGAGGAATAGAGAGCCCACGCCTCAGAACGCCCCATTTCTGCCAAGAGAAGTTTGACATCTCCCAGCACAAAAAGAGGGCCTAGCCAAAGAAAATGAGAGATCTCGGGTGATGGTGACTCTCACTGTCCTGGGGACATGGAGGTCCAGGAAACGATTACTGGAAGACTAGGATTAGGTCAACGAGAAAGAAATGACACACATCTGCCTCTTTCAATCCCCTTCCTTTTTGGGGGGACCCTGAAGAGATCTTGATGTAGCATCTTCGGGATAAGAAAAGCATCGTTTGTCTTTTTTTTTGTTAAACACCCAGCTTTCAGGTTACTCATTTTAAAGCTTAGGTAGCTTGTATAGGCCTCTGATAGAGATAATGAAGCCCACATTCCCAGGTCGGCTTCATTAAAGTTATTTGTTGAGGCTGAAAAAGAAATCCATGTAGAGGAAAAGCTGACTTTTGCCAAGTGCAGGTGAGTCAGTAAGGCATGAATTTACAATGCCACTTAGGAAAGGTGAAGGCTTGGGCCCTGGCTACCTGACTGCTGGCTGTAAACCTGCAGGAAAAGGTGGGGCTAACTGTAGCTTTGGTTTTTCCAAAAGTTCATGATTAATCACCTGGCTGAAAGAATTTTCACACATAAGCCAAAAAGAGATAAGTACTTCTTTATGAAGACCTGTATAATAGCCAGCTAGGCTAGACTCTCCCACTTCCTGTTTTCTCCGTTTGGCAAATGAGCTGGATGCCCTCCAAAGTATTTAAACTTAATTTCCAATTGTGTAATTTGAGAAGGGGGAAGGTCAGTTTCCTTCCAGACTCAGAAAAGTTTGGAAGTACATTTCTTGAAGTTGGAAAATGAGAATGTATTTCAGAATACTTACTTATGGTAGACTAAATCATTCAGTTTATTTTCCGGGTATTTTTTTTTTTTAACCCCAATATCCTGGGGAATTGATAGGACTCTGCCAAAAATTTAAATATCCCAAGAATTATATTTCATGTAAGTACTGAATGTCAGCAGGATTGGTGCTAGAGACTAGTATTACTTTGGCAATGAACTTAGCTCAAGATGAGGACAAGTATTGGAGAAAAGCTGGGAATAATTGAGTATAAAAAAATACTGATCTTCAGGGAATACAGGATTGGTTGGTCTTTTTCTTTTTGAGACAGGGTCTCCTTGTTGCCTCAGCTGACCTGGGACTCATGTAGACCAGGCTGGCCTTTGAACTTCAGAGATTTGCCTGCCTCTGCCTCCCAAATACTGGGATTAAAGGCGTGCAGTACCACACCGGGCTCAGACTACAGGGTTCTTAAAATGGCAGTTGTAGTCACAGTGCAGCACATATTAGAAGAGCTATCTTAAGGAGCTAAAGAATGGTGTATTGTAATAGTTTTCGTACTTGAGGGCCTGGAGAGATGGCTCAGCAGTTAAGAGCACCCAGGTTCGATTCCCAGCACCCACATGGCAGCTACAAACTGTCCTTAACTCCAGTTACAGGGGAATCTGAAGCCTTCTGACCTCTTTGGTATTGCATGACGTGGGTGCACTCACATACATGCAGGCAATACACTCGTACACATAAAATAAAAATAATAAAATATTTTTAAAATAGTTTTCATACTTGAATACTATTTCAAAGAATTTGCACACTTGCTGTGCTAGAAATTGGACCCATAGTTCAGCACACAGCAGCACTGGTTCTGCTAGTTTTGCTTTACAGATTAAACAGCTGAAGCTCAGAGATAAATAGATTTGCTCAGTTATTATAGTATTGTGCCAGAGCCGTATCTGGAGCCCATGTCTTCTCACCCCTTGGGCTCTCTTCCCATGATGCTAGAAACTCCTGGGATTTAATTTTGTTCATCTCTTTTTTAAAATTTTATTATTTTTATTTTTTTATGTGTATGTGTGTATTGCCTGCATGTAGGTGAGTGCATCTGTGTCGTGCAATACCCTCAGAGGTCAGAAGAGGCTGTTCCATCTCCTGGGACTGGAGTTATGGACAGTTGTTAGCTGCCATGTGGGTGTTGGGATACGAACCCTGGTCTTCTGTAAGAACAACCAGTGTTCCTAACTGCTGAGCCATCTCTCCAGCCCCAATTTTGTTGATCTCTTGTGTATGGAGCAGAATCTGGCTCTTTGTAGATGCAGATTCATTTTTCCAGTGAATTGACTTTTAGCTTTAAACAACTGTTTTTTCCTAAAGTCATAGTTCATTAGTGAGCAAAATCCTTCATTACAAACAAACATTTGCAGGCTGTAGACATGGCTCAGTGAATAAGAGCAAACGCTGTTCCCGAGGGTCGGTGTTCCAGTCCTAGAACCTGGTTGGCCATTTGTAACTCTAATTCCAGGGATCCAGTGCCCTCTTCTGGCTTCTGAGGACACTGCATGCATGTGGTGTACTAAAACACTCATACACATAAAAATGAAGGTAAAATTTAAAAAAATTTTAAGGACTGGAGAGATGGTTCAGCAGTTAAGAGCACTTGCTGCTCTTGCAAAGGGACCCCAGTTCCCTTCCCAGCACCCACATGGTGGCTAACAACAACTATGTAACTCCAGTTCCAGGGATTCTGAAGCTCCCCCCCCCATGGGCTTTGCACTACATGGATGCACTTACATACGTGCAGGCAAAGCATTCGTACACATAAAACAAATAAATTTTAAGGCCAGGCAGGTGGCCGTTAATGTGGTATTGTACTTGTACAGCTTCAGATTTTCTCCCAGCACTTGGGGAGGCAGAGGTAGGTGGATCTCTGTGGGTTCCAGGCCAGCCAGGTTTACATAGTGAGGCCCTGTTTCAAAAAAAGAAAACCCACAAATTTTAATAGATACTTGGTTAAGGAATTATTAACAACTTTGGGATGATAATGGTATCTTTTTTTTTTTTTGGTCTTTTTTGAAGCAGGGTCTCCCTGGAGCTCCAGCTGGCCTGAAACTTTATATAGACCAGGCTGGCCTTGAACTCACAGAGATCCACCTGTCTCTGCCTCCTGAGTACTGGGATTAAAGGTGTGTGCCACCACGCCCGGCTTGGTATCATTTTTTAATCCTCATCTTTTAATCATTTATGGATGAAATGATATTTTGCCAAAATAATCCAGTAAGAGGACTGAGTTATAGCTCACTGAGAGAGTGGTTTCCTAGCATGCTCCAAACTCCCATGTTCCATCTGCAGTAACACACATACCCATGCACAGTCTCACACACGCACATACACACTAATAAACCAGAAAGGAAGGGACATTGCTCTGACAACATTAGCTCTGAGTTGGTATTGTGGTATTGTACTTGTACCGCTTCAAATTTTCTCATAAGTAATTGTGAGAGTTTGTTGTACAGGTTTTCTGGAAACAAATTCTCATTATGTAGCCCAGGCTGATCTGTTTGTTTGTTTTTGTTTTATGGAGCCAGGGTCTCACTCATGTAGCCCTGGCTAGTTTGAAACTCACTAAGTAGACCAGTCCAGCCTCAAACTCAGATTAGCCTTCCTGAGCCTCCAGAGTGCTGGGATCAAAGGTGTGCAGCACTGTGTCTATCAGCCCCAGGCTGTCTTTGAACTCACTGTGTGGTCCCAACTGACCTAAAACTGAAAATTCCTTTTGCCTCTGCCACTGTGTTGGACTAGAGGGCTGTCTATGTTATCCATATTGGCATCTCCTGCTGTATTTATATTAGCAAAACACTATAATATGCAGTAAAATCTTCAGAGATTTAAAAAGTGTTAGGCTAGTTTTGTGGATATGGTCAAAATTTAATTCCGCACACCTTTACTCCCCCGCCCCCTTTTTGTTTCATTCTGGTTTTAGTGAGGGGGTTTTTTTTGGTCTTTTTGAGACCCTATAGCCCCAGCTAGCCTGGAACTCACTATGTAGACCAGGGTGACCTTGAACTCACAGAGATTCACCAGCCTCTGCCTCCCAAGTGCTGAGATTAAAGGTGTGCACCTTTAAATTTTTTAAATTAAAAAAAATTTTATTTAATTATTTTTTATGTGTGTGAATGCTTTGCCTGCATGTTTGTAAGTGCTCCATGTCCTGTGATGCAGAAGAGGGCGTCATACTCCTGTAACTGGGGTTACAGGTGATTCTTGGCCACCATGTGGGTGCTGGGAACTGAACCTGAGTTCTCTACAACAGCAGCCAGTGCTCTTAACCACTCAGCCATGTTTCCAGGCCCACCTATACACTTTCTTTTTAATATTTTATTTATTTTTTATTTTTTGTGTATGAGTGTATTGCCTGCATGTATGTAATGTTCTTGTTTTTAATTTTTTAAAAATATTTCATTTAATTTTTTATTTTATGTGTATGAGACTATTGCTAGTATGTAGGTAGGTGCACCCATGTCGTTCAGTGCCTAAGGAAGTCAGAAGAGGGCATCAGATCCCCCTGGAACTGGAGTTATGGACAGTTGTAGCCACCATATGGATGCTGGGAATTGAACCCGGGTCCTTTGCAAGAGCAGCCAGTGCTCTTAATCACTGAGTCATCTCTCCAGCCCCACTTGATTTTTTAAAGGCAGGATCTCATTGTTGCCCAGGCTGGCCTAGAACTCTTGGGCTCCTGCTTCAACCTCCTGAGTAGCAAGGTGTGTTCCACTGTGCCTGGCTTGACTTTTATTTCTAATGTGGAAGTTCTAGGTCACTTCAACTCCGTAGCATGAGTGAAAATCTTTATGGCATAGTTTGAGCACTGATATCTTTATTTCTCAGAAAGAACAATTCATATTTAACAGTGAGATTCGGTATAAAACACCTTGCCAGGCTATAAAATCTGTAACAGGGACATTCTTACTCTCTTTTGTCTCCCAAGTCTTAACTATCAGAACCTTTCTAATGTGTTTTGTTTTTTTTAACCTCTTTCTTTTTTCCACCCATCCTCTCAACCCTAGCTGCACAGCATGGAACCACAGGTTACTCTAAATGTGACTTTTAAAAATGAAACTCAAAGCTTTCTGGTTTCGGATCCAGAAAATACAACTTGGGCCGATGTTGAAGCTATGGTGAGTTTTACTTTGTTTTGTTTCTCAGTGGTTTAAGCATAGATATTTTTTCCAAATGTAGCTATGTTTAGCAATGAGTATTATTTCATAGCTGTTAAATCTGTCAACGTTACCATTTCTGGACCTTTTGGAAAATTGTTTTTGACAGGGTTTCAGTGTTCATATAGGAGATGTACCCAAATAAAGGGAACAAATCAGTAAGTTCCTTTTTTTTTTTTTTTAATATTTTTTTTTCAGGTGTAGAGGTTCCATTGTAGATGTGTCACCTAGGGCTGGTTTTTTGATCTTTTTGAGACAGGGTCTCTGTGTAGCCCCAGCTGTCCTGGAACTCACTATGTAGACCAGGCTGGCCTTGAACTCAAAGAGATCCGCCTGCCTCTGCCTCCCGAGTGCTGGGATTAAAGGTAAGTGCCACCACGCCCGGTGAAGTTCCTTTTTTAAAAAAAAATAAAATAAAATAATGGCACCTTTAGTTCCAGTGCTTGGGAGGCAGAGACAGGCAGATCTCTATGAGTTCAGGGCCAGCCTGGTTTACACAGTGAGTTCCAGGCCAGCTGGGGCTATAGGAAGACCCTCTCTCAATAAGACCAAAAAAAAAAAGACAGATAGATAGGTAGATAGATATAGAGAGACTTATTTTTATTATTTTCTTAAATTATATGTGTCTATGTGGGGATATATGCATGTGGTGCAGATACCCAGGAAGCCAGAGTATTCAGATTTCCCTAGAGCTGGAGTTGTAGGTGGTTGTGAGGTCCCTGGTGTGGGTACTAGAAACCAAACTCCAGTTCCTCTTGAAGAGTAGCAAGCACTGTTGAGCCATTTCTCTGGCCCCTTAAAAAAATTTTTTTTAATTACATTTATTTTGTGGGAGGGAATGAAGATCAAAGCACAACTTGCAGGACTCAGTTCTCTCCTTCCACCATGTGGGCCGCAAGCATCAAAGTCAGATTGTCAGGGTTTCACAGTAAAATGCCTTTACTTGGCTAAGCCATCTTACTGTCCCAAGTTCCTTTTGAAGAGTTTATAAAGGGTTGATAAAATTCATTTTTAAGTGAAATAGGATTTAGGAAACATACTTATTTTAGAAATAGTCTGAGGGATAAATTAGTGTGGCCTCCACCCCAACTGGGCCCCAGGGGAATGTTCTGTTTGAGAGCAGATCTGTTGCTGCTGGTGGTAAACTACCAAGGATATGACCTGTATTTCACAAGACCTGTCAACTTGCTTTATTTCCAGGTCAAAGGTTGACTATCTCAAAGTTGGCAAAAAACAAACCCCCACAGTGCTTAGATAGCAGTTCATCTGTTCCTTGCTTGCTAATGCTTTCTCTCATCTTGATTTGGCCTTTGTACTCATCTGGATTTGTTCGTTTGTGGTGGTCAATGTTTTACTATTTGAGCACCTGTGTTTAATGTAACCATTTGGTTAAACTTGCCTTTACCTGGTTATCTGGGAGGGTAGCTTAAAAAGAAAAACATTGGGCCGGACACGGTGGCCCACTCCTTTAATCCCAGCACTCAGGAGGCAGAGGCAGGCGGATCTCTGTGAGTTTGAGACCAGCCTGGTCTCCATAGAGAATCCAGGCCAGCTGGGGCTACAGGGAGACCCCTGTCTCAAAAAAAGACCTTAAAATATGCTCTGGTCTTGTCTTCTGCCTTCCAGCAAACCTCTCTATCCTGTCCTAGACAGATGAGTATCCAGAAGAAGTGGGGTCTTGTTAAATGATCTCAGCATCAACATCAGTTCTTTTTCCTTTTCCTTAGGCAAATGAACTTACAGTTTGCCTTTATTGTAAAAATTTTGATTACAAAAGTCTAATACATGCCCATTATAAGACATGAAACAGTCTAAACATGTAAGGAGAAAATGCAAACTCCTTCCCTCATACCTGCTATTCACACCTCCTTTGAATAACCAGAGATAACAGCCCTGTATACTTACCCACATTTCCATGTTCATGTAGGAATGAATTCAATTGTATGAATACTAGGATCATACAATAAATACTGTTCTGGAGCTTGCTTTTCTTACCCAATAGTAATTATAGGCAGTTCTTAATCAACAGACAAGAATCAAAGCTCAGTCTTTTTAATCTGTGTGTCTACAAGGCTGCTGGTGCTTCTGTACATTAATTGATTTATTTAACCATTTCTTATTAAGTGATTCTTTTTTCAGGTTATCTTTCTTTTACCATTATATAAATAGACTGGAGATACCTCTCTTGATATGAGTAACTTACATATTGTTCAGTAAGATAAACTCTACCCAGAACTGAGATTAAGGGTCACATGGCATGTGGTTTTAAATTTTTATAAGTTTTTTGTTACTGTGTTTGTGTATGATGGGGGCAGGGAGGACACGCAGGAGCTACTGCACATATGTAAGTCAGAGGACAACTCTGTGCAGTCAGTTCCTCCTACCTTTGCACAGCTTTCAGGGATCAAACTCGGGCTCATATGACAAGCACTTTGCCACTTAAGCCATCATGCCAGCCCTGGTTTTAAATTTTTATAGATCACTGCCAGATGTTTTATCATAGAAGCTCATAGAAAAGTAACATAGCAAGCTGGGTAAGGTGGCGCATGCCTTTAATCCCAGCGCTCAGGAGGCAGAGGCAGGCGGATCTTTTTGAGTTCAAGGCCAGTCTGGATTCCATTAGCAACTCCAGGACAGCTGCGGCTACAGGGAGACCTTGTCTCAAAAAAAAAAAAAACCCCCCCAAAAAAAAAAAAGTAACATAGCATCTTGAATTTTGTTTGTTTTATGCTGCTAGGGATCAAACCAGGGCCTTGTACATGCTGGGAAAGCATTCTGTCACTGAGCTACATCCCCTGCCCTGAACTTTTGACAGTACTCAATATTACAGCTTTAGAGTGTTTGCTATCCTGATAATATGGTGTCATATTGCCTTAATTTACATTTTTTGGCTAACAGTAAAGTTAAACATCTTTTCATATATTTCTTAGGCATTCTGATTTCTTTTGTGAATTTTTTGTACATTTTTATGCACTTTTACTTAAATTGCTAATCTTTTTAAAAAATTTTTTTGGTCTTTTTGAGATAGGGTCTCCCTATAGCCCCTGCTGTCCTGGAACTCACTATATAGACCAAGATCGCCTTGAACTCACAGAGATCCGCCTGCCTCTGCCTCCCGAGTGCTGGGATCAAAGGCATGCACCAACCACACCCGGCTAAATTGCTAATTTTATTAGTAGTTTTAATGACCTTTTCTGTGATATTAACCTTTTACTTATTATCATTTGCATATATTATCTTCCAGTTTGTTGTCTTTTGATTTTGTAGTGTTTTTCTTTCTTTTTTAAACCATATTAAAATGTTTTGACTGGAGGAATGTACCTTGCTAAAGTTCTTGCTGAATTCAGTCCCCAGCACCTCAAAAAGAATAAAAATAACCAGCATGGTGGTGCACACCTTGAATCCCAGCACTCAGGAGGCAGAGGCAGGCGGATCTCTGTGAGTTTGAGGCGATCCTGGCCTATAAAAGATCCTGTCTCAAAATCCCTGTCTCAAAAAGACCAAAAAAGAAGTAATGATAATAAGCTAAGCATTGTGGCACATGCTTTTAATAATCCCAACACTTGGGAGGAAGAGGCAAGAATAAAAATAAGGAGCTGGGGAGATGGCTTGGTGGGTAAGGTACTTGCCATGCAAATGTGGGGACCACTTTGGATCCCCAGCACCCAGGAAAATGTTAGGCAGGCATTGTAGCCTGCTTGTAATCCTAGCACTTGGGAAGCCCATACAGGAGATCCTGGAGCAAACTGGCTAGTTAATTCATCAATTCAGTGAACTGTAGGTTCAAATGAGAGACCCTGTCTCAATAAATAAGGTAAAGAACTACTGAGGAAGGCATGCAGCATCAGCCTCAGCAGGCGTGTGCACGCACACGCACGCACACACCTACCTATACCTGCATACCTACACGCACGCATTGCTCCCCTACACAGATGCCAAAAATGGAAAAGTTCAAATATTTCTTTTTTTGGTCTTTTTGAGACCACTCCTGACTAAATATTTCATTTTTATATGGCAAGATATGCTGACCCTTTCGTTTCATTTACAGGTCAAAGTTTCATTTGATCTGAATACTATTCAGATAAAATACCTGGATGAGGAAAATGAAGAGGTAAAGTGTACTGTGGACCCTATTACTAGATATTTAGAATAAGGATCCTTTCCCAAGTGACGTGAGGCTTTAAAAGTTTAGAATAGCCGGGCGTGGTGGTGCATGCCTTTAATCCCAGCACTTGGGAGGCAGAGGCAGGTAGATCTCTGAGTTTGAGGCCAGCCTGGTCTATATAGTGAGTTCCAGGCCAGCTGGGCTATAGGGAAAGCCTGTCTCAGAAAGACCAAAAAAAAAAAAATAGTGGCATCTGAAGTGGAGTTGAAAAATAATGGGGAAGCAGCATGAATGTCTTCAAGAAGACTGGACATGGGTCATGTAGTTTATAATAATAACCATGGGGACTCTTTACTACATGGTTACATTGTGTCAGGCTAACAGGAGTTTATATTAGGTGCAGGATTACTATCTCTAGTTTAACCACAAGAAAGTGGAGGCACAGAGCAGTTACAAACCCTGCCTGAAGGCACAAAAGTTTGGAAGTAATGGAGAAAGGGTTTGGTCCATACCTTCTGGCTCCAGGTCTCGGGCCCCTGACCACTATATTTTTCTGCCTCCTAATGTACTAAAATAAAGGAGAGCATAGTTTTAAAGCAATAAAATTCCTTAATTATTTATTATTAATCATAATTAGCACATGATACTGGAAAGGCTGGACTCTAGACCCGGGATTTTTGCATATATCCTATGAGACTGCTCTCTGGTAATATAAATGCTTAGTTGATGGACACTTAGAATTCACTGTTGATTTTTTTCTCTTTATAGGTTTCCATCAACAGTCAAGGTGAGTTCCTGGAAAAAAAACTAGTCAGCTTTACTTAAAATTTGCCTGGCATGGTGGTGTGTGTCTGTGATTCCAGTACTGGGGAGGCGAGGCACAAGGATCTTGAGTTTAGCAGTAGTCTGGGCTGTATAATGAGGCCCTGTCTCAAAACAAATTCACCTGCTCATTAAGATATTGCCATGTATACTATTTTGTTCCAGCCTACATTTTAGAATTGGTATGCTGTAAATTGGCATTGCAGTCAGTTATCCATGGGCATTAGTAGTTTTATAGTTTTGTTGATCTGGGTTTTGTTTGGGGTTTTTTGTTTGTTTTATTTTTTTGTTTGTTTCTGAGGCAGTCTTAGCATTCCCAACTGGCTTCAAAGTTGATATATAGCCTAGGATGACTTTGAACTTCTGATCCTCCTATTTCTACTAAGATTATAGACATATTCTACTCTGCCCAGTTTATGCAGTACTGAGGATAGAACCCAGGGTTTTGTGCATGCTAGACACTCTACCAGCTCAACTACATCCTTAACCTCAAAGAGGATTTTTTTTTTTGTCTTTTTTGAGACAGGGTCTCCTTGTAGCCCCAGGTATCCTGGAACTTACTGTGTAGACCAGGCTGGCCTTGAAGTCACAAAGATCTGGCTGCCTCTGCCTCCCAAGTGCTGGGATTAAAGGCGTATGCTACCATGCCCCACAGGGGATTTTTATTGTATATCGTTTTTGTGTTGTTTGTGTATCGTTTTTGCATGAACCATAAGGACAGTGCTAATAGAAATTTCTCTTGTATTTAAGATGCTAATCTTGCCAGGCAAAGTGACACATGCTTTAATCCCAGTACTCCGGAGACAGAAGCAGGGAGATCTCTGTGAGTTTGAGGCCAGCCTAGTCAGACTCCCATCTCAAAATAGAGAAAAGAGAAGGGGAGAAAAAAATTTTAAAACCCTAAAATCCTCTGAAAATAATATGCAATAATATACATCCAGTTTGTCACATATAACTTACTTTCCTGGTGTTGCATCTGTGTCTGACTTGGCATATTTGTTAATATTAATGCATAAACAAGTGTGATGTTCCCAAGTTTATCACATAGCTAGCTGGTGGTTCAGAACTTGAAGTACATTTTCCCACAGGAATCATACCATATTTAAAGGTTAGTTTCCCAGGCTGGTTTCTAAAACCTTATTTGAACAAGCTAAAAATGATAGTATTAAGCTTTGCATGGTGGTACATACCTTTAATCCCAGCACTTGGGAGGCAGAGGCAGGTGGATCTCTGTGAGTTCAAGGCCAGCCTGGTGAGTTCCAGGACAACTGGGGCTACAGGGAGACCCTGTCTCTTAAAGACCAAAAAAAAAGTATTAACTCAACTCAATCCACAATCTCCATAGAATCTTTTTTTAAATATGTGTATGTGTGTATTACCTGCATGTAGGTGTCCTGCAATGCCCACAGAGGACAGAAGAGGCTGTTGGATCCCCTGGAACTGGAATTACAGACAGTTGTTAGCTGCTGTGTAGGTGCTAGGATTTGAACCCAAGTCCTCTGCAAAAACATCGTGTTCTTAACCGCTGTGCCATCTCTCCAGTCCAGAGGCTTGTGCTTCACAATGTATAGTTTGAAGGAGCTGAGTTGAGATTTTATAACTAGAAGCCTAGAGTAACAAAGAAGAGACTTGAGAGAGAGAGATCCACCTGCCTCTGCCTCCTGAGTGCTGGGATTAAAGGCGTGAGCCACCATGCTTTTACTGGAAGGGAGAAATCCCAGACAAGGGTCTCCTCACTCTCCTGGGACTATAAGTAACTCCATTACTATTACCTAAGTCCTGGCTGCCACTGCTTTGTTTTGCTTTAATTGCCATATGGGAGCAAGGTCCAAGAATAGCTTCTTGTTATGACCAGAAGGAAAAGCCATACAACAGTAGAAGGGAGTTTGTCTAGCAAGTAGGTAATAACTGTCCATATTTATGGATTATAAATTAAGAAGTAGGATTGGCATGGGGGGCCCTGGAGAGCTGGTTCAGCAGTTAAGAGCACTGGCTGCTCCTGCAGAGGACCTGGGTTCAATTCCCAGCACCCACATGGCAGCTATCAACCATCTGTAACTCCAACTCCAGGTGATCCAACGCCCTCTTCTGACCTCTGTGGGCACTGCACAACGTGTACACTTATGCAACCAGTACACTCATACACATAATAAAATACATATTTTTTATTTTGTCTCTTTTTTGGGAGGGGGGAGCGGAAGACCAAACCCAGGACCCAGGGCCTTGCGCTTGCTAGGCAAGCATTCTACCACTGAGCTAAATCCCCAACCCCAATAAAATATTCTTAAAAAGAAGTAGGATTGGCTATACTTTAGAAAATAAGTTTTATTTTATTTTATATATATATAGATGGTATATAACATATTGTTGTGAGATATATATAGATGATCAAATGAGGTTACTCTAGTGAAAGAAATTATAATCATCTCACAGTTACCCTCCCCCAACTCTACTTCTGCCGCTCCAAGGTGAGAGAGCTGTAATCTACCATAGTAACAATTCCTCAGTACAGCATACAACATGTTATCAGCTGTAGTCATCTTGTGCACCAGAACTATAGGCTCAGCCAGTCCTGGTGGTATACTTCTGTAATCCCAACACAGGATTTTGAGGTGAAGCCAAGTAGGGCTACATAGCCAGACCTCACCTAAGAAAAGAACAACTATAGGACTGATAATACTCAACAGAATCTTTAGGACTTGTGAAAAATATTGCTTTTTTGTGTTTCCCTTTAGGAGAATATGAAGAAGCACTTAAGGTAATGTTTACTTCATTTTATTTTCAAATGATTTTTTTTAAATATTCATTAAAACTTGAATTCCAGGGCTAGAGAGATAGCTCAGCTGACTGTTCTTGCAGAAGACCCGGGTTTGAATTCCCGCGCCCACATGGCAACTAACAACTGTCTGTAACTGTGCAGTTCCAGGGTATCCAACAGCCTCTTCTGTCCTCCGTGGGCATTGCACGACATGGGTGCACTTATCTACGTGTATGCAATACACGCGTACACATAAAATAAAAATAATAAATTTTAAAAAAAACTTGAATTCATGTATTAACACTTAATATGTACCTTCATGAAAGCCTAATGGCTCCTTGAAAGAGTTTCCAAAATTTGTTGTTAGGAAGATGTTCCTCAAAAAGATGTAAGCTTGCTTTCTAAATACTGTGGTTATTGGAAACATGAATGCTTAGAAGGCCAAGCATGGTGGTGCACACCTTTAATCCCAGCACTTGGGAGGTAGAAGCAGGCAGATTTCTGTGAGTTCCTGGCCAGCCAGGGCAACATAGTAAGACAGTCTCAAAAAAAAAGTGTAAATGCTTAGATAGGGTAAATCTGGCTTTAAATTTCCATGGTTCACATTAGCCTGGAATCAGTCGAGTTTTTTTTTTTTTTTAATATTTTATTTTTTTATGTGTGTGTGTGTGTGTGTAGTGCCTGCATATAGGTAAGTGCACCCATGTCATGGAATGCCCTCGGAGGACAGAAGAGACTGTAGATCCCCTGGAACTGGAGTTACGGACGGTTGTTAGGTGCCATGTGGGTGCTGGGATTCGAACCCAGGTCTTCTGCAAGAACAGTCAGTGTTCTTAACCGCTGAGCCATCTCTCAAGCCCCATCAGTTGAGATTTTTTTTTTTTTGAAGTTGAGATTAGAGTTCATAGTTGGAGTATTATATATAAAAATGAATATGATGGTGTATACCTGTAATCCCAGCACTTGGGAGGTGAGGCAGAAAGATCTGTTACTCTAGTGTAATAAAATAATTCCTAGTTAATATGCTTGGCAAAGAAACAGCAGGCTGGATACTAACATTGGGTGGATTTGACTGTCTTTATCCAAAATGCTTGAGACCAGAAATTTCTCAGTTTTGATTTTGGGATATTTGTACATTCAAAATGAGATATCTTGGAGATGGGACCCAAGACCAACTTTGAAATTTATTGTTTCATATACCATGTATATGAATGAGGTAATTTTCATGGTATTTTTAGTGTACAATAAATATTTTATTATTTTAATTTTATGTGTATGCATGTATTGCCTACAAGTAGGTAAGTGCATCCATGTCGTGCAATGCCCATGGAGGACAGAAGAGGCTGTCAGAGCCTCTGGAACTGGAGTTATGGATAGTTGTTAGCTGCCATGTGGGTGATGGGATTCAAACCTGGGTCTTCTGTAAGAACAGTCAATGTTCTTAACCGCTGAGCCATCTCTCCAGCCCCCTTGTAATATATTTTTTATTTATTATTTTTATGTGTATGAGTGTGTTGCCTGTATGTGAGCACACCCTTATTGTATAATGCTGAGGAGATCAGAGGAAGGCATCAAATTCCCCTGGAACTAGAGTTAAGGACGATTCATAGCCACAGTGTAGGTGCTGGGACTCGAACCTGGGTCCTCTGCAAGAGCAGTCAGTGTTCTTAACCACTGAGCCATCTCTCCAGCCCCCCAGTGTACCATATTTTGATGACTACTGATCATAAAATGTCATGTGCTGATTTTCCACTTGTGGCATCATGTCAGCACCTCAAACTTTCAGGTTTTGGAGCATTTCAGGTTCTCAGATTGAGGATACTCAACCTGTGCATTTAGTAACGAAAACAAAAATCATAGCATAGTTTACTACACATCTTCTTTTCAGTGCTTTGAAATTCCATTTGGAAAAGAAGGCTCACCCAGTGTATCTTTGTTTTATAATGTGCTCTCAGATGGCTGTTAAGCAGGGAAACCAACTACAGATGCAAGTTCATGAAGGGTACCATGTTCTGGATGAAGCATTCCCCCTTGAAAAACAAGCAGCTGTCAGGACAGGGAAAAAGCCACTTGCACATTATTCTTCACTGGTGAGAGTCTTGGGATCAGATATGAAGACCCCAGAGGAGCCAGCAGCACAGGTATGAAGAAGGTGGACCTGTCTATTCAACTCTCTAACCTTACATCCCATTGTCATTTGAGTATTCAGTGATCAAAGACTTGGGCAGGGAGATTGGGGAGATAGCCTTGCAGGCACAAGGACCTGAGTTTGATTCCCAGAGCCCACACGAAAAGACAAAAGGGCCAGGGAAATGGCTCACTGGGTAAAGAAGTGCTGTGCAAGCATGAGGAGCTGAGTTCAAATCCACAAAGAACCAGGCATGGTATTGTGTCTGTAATCCCAATGTTCCTATGGCGAGTAGGAGGCAGAGACAGAATCCCAAAAGCTCACAGGCCAGCCAGCCTGACATACACAGTGGTGAACAACAAAAAACAGACCCTGTCTCAAACAAGGTGGAAGTCAAGAACCACCACCTGATATCCTCCGATCTCCCTGGAAGTGTGCTGTGCATGTGCACACCTGCACTCACAAATGAATGCATATACATATCACATATACAAATAGCCTGGTGTGGTTATGTGTATGTAATTCTAATACTGAGAGACAGAAATAGGATTATTCCTGGGACTTGCTGGCCAGCCAGCCTAGACTGCTTGGCTGCATCCAGGCCAGTGAGAGACCTGACTCAAATGAAAGAAAAGGTGAAGAAGCACCTGAGGTTGTCTGTGACCTCCACGTGCAGTGCACATTTGCATGCATACACACATACACAGAAGATTTGGGTGTTACTGTTGAATGTCTTTTGAAACAACCGTCGCTTACTTCTAGAGAAGGGGAACAAAGTAGAATAGACTTTGTTTTCCTTTTCTTTTACACTTTCTAAAAACCACATGCACTGGGCATGGTGGCTCATGCCTTTAATCCAAGCACTTGGGAGGCAGAGGCAGGCGGATCTCTGTGAGTACAAGGCTAGCCTGGTCTACATAGTGAGTTCCAGACCAGCTAGGGCTTCAGGAAGGCCCTGTCTCAAAAAAACCAAAAACGAAAAAAAGAAAAGAAAAACCACACGCATCATTTGACAAAAGAAACCTGAACACAATACATTTTAGAAAAAATCATTTTAAATTTCCAAGATCTTGCATTGTATTTTCTCACAGCCATGTCCACTCGCTCCCTATGACACAGACAAGCCCCAGGACAAGCCCCCAGACTGGTTCACAAGTTACCTGGAGACAGTGAGTATTCTCTCCGACTTGGGTTTTAGAAGCACTCTTGCCACAGGTGGAAAGTTGAACCCAGATGGCTGCCAACACTGGTGCAGGTGAATGAAGAGTAGTTGCTAATGATTTCTAGACCTAGGGTAAATCTAATCAAGCTCTAACCTTTGCCTGAGGCATGATAAAAAGAAGTATTCTATGTCTAACATGTCAGGCAGAGACAGATCTTTGCTACAGAAAAAAAGGATTCAGCTATAGGATTTCTTGGAATTTTCTTTGAATCAGTTTATCTGTGAAAGTAATAGACGTCTTGTTACATTTCTGTTTTCATTCCTTCAGTAGCTGTTGTTTATTATGTTCTTGTGTGCTACCATAAACGGTGCAGTTTCAGATTTGTTCTCTTACCAACACTGGAACTGAGTTTTTTGTTCCTCACCTTCTGCTTTGCATTTCAGTTCAGAGAGCAAGTGGTTAAAGAAACGGTTGAGAAGCTGGAACAGAGGCTACACGAGAAGCTTGTCCTCCAAAAGCCATCCTTGAGTTCCTCCCCCTCAGAAGACTCAATGCCTCTTTCGGAGACAGCACTTTTTTTGCCAGAGAACCAGTTTAGCTGGCATATTGCTTGCAGCAGCTGCCAAAAAAGGATCATTGGTGTGCGCTACCAGTGTAGGTAAGCAGCCACTGGTTGGAGCAGTGACTTCTAGCATTCTGATAGCTTAAGGACAGCTGAATATCCCCTAGCAGTACATGTTGTAGCTTTGGTCTGGGAGTACAAGCTGCTCCTCATCTATCTAGATGGTGTATGGGTTTAGCGGTAATTATTAAGAGAGCTGCTCAGATACACACTGGGATTAACAGAGCCAGACAAACTTTGGTTCCCTTAAACAAAATTAGATCACTAAAAATAGATTCCCCCTTTGTTCAGTATGGTTTCGTATGTTACTTCCTCCCATAGATTGTCTCATGGAAGTAAACATAGATTAAATGTTACTCCTCTTTATTGAGGAGCATTAAGGCTTGGCGTTGGCATGGTCAGGTGGCAAACTTTTTACCACCTTGCTGGTAATGGAGCAAATACAGAAATCTATTCCTGTTCCCATCTACCTCATGTCGTTCCTACTATGAACTTTTTATTGTGCCATTCTTTTTCCACAGCCTGTGTCCGTCCTACAACATCTGTGAAGATTGTGAATCTGGACCATATGCCCATGACACTAACCACATCCTGCTAAAGTTGAGGAGACCTGTTGTGAGTTCCTCTGAACCATTTTCTCACTCAAAGTACTCCGCTCCTCGTCTGCCTGCTGCTCTGGAGCAAGTCAGGTAAAACTAAGTCCTTGGGTATGTGTGTTCTCTGATTGACATCTTAATTCTGATGACTGGGCATATTGGTACATGCCTTTAGTCCCAGCACTCCTGAGGCAGAAGCAGGCGGATCTCTATGAGTTCCAGGCCTTCTGGGGCTACAGGAAGACCCTGTCTCAAAAAGACAAAAAAAAAAAACTGATATGATGCCAGTGCACACTCGTAATGTCAGCAATTCAGGAAGATCCTGAGTGAGTTCAAGGCCATCCTGAGCTACATAGTGAGACTCTCAAAACAAAAATCCAATGATAATATATAGTATCACAAAATAAAATAGTCTCCTTATTTCTGCTTTTTAACTGATTTGCAGTAATGAAAACAGCTGACTGGCCGGGCATGGTGGCGCACGCCTTTAATCCCAGCACTGGAAGCCAGAGGCAGGTGGATCTCTGAGAGTTCAAGGCCAGCCTGGTCTACATAGTGAGTTCCAGGACAGCTAGGGCTACTGGGAGGCCCTGTCTCAAAAAGACCAAAAAAAAAAAGTAAACAGCTGACTGACACTAGTCCAGTAGAAGCATTACTGTGGTTCTGTAAAAGAAGTTAAGAAACTAAACTAAATTCTGACTTTAATGGGTTGCACTTGGCTCCAAATAGGTTCAAGATTTGTTTTAAGACATTCATTCATTGTCCCACAGGCTCCAGAAACAGGTGGATAAGAACTTTGTGAAAGCAGAAAAACAAAGGTTGCGTGCTGAGAAGAAACAGCGGAAAGCAGAGGTCAAGGAACTTAAAAAGCAGCTTAAACTCCACAGGAAGATTCATTTGTGGAATTCAATCCATGGATTCCAGAGCCCCAAGTCTCCTTTGGGCCGACCCGAGAGCTTACTGCAATCTAATGCCCTGATGTAAGCTCAGGGCCAGGGTTGGGGACTGTGGCTTTGGGTCCAGCTCCCTAAAACTGGAATTTTACATATTATTTTATTATTTTTATGTGTATGAGTGTATTACCTGCATGAATGTAAGTGCAGCCATGTCATGCAGTGCCCAAAGAGGTCAGAAGAGGGCATCAGAACCCCTGGAACTAGACTTATGGATGGTTGTTAGCTGCCATGTGGGTGCTAGGAATGGTACCCAAATCTCTCTGTAAGAGCAGCCAGTGTTCTTAACCACTGAGCCATCTCTCCAGCCCAAAACTGGAACTTGAGCCATCATCTGTCTTACCCATTGGCAGCTTCTAACACTCATACCCTTCAGCCTTCCCATTCTCTGATCCACACTGGTTCTATAGTTATTTTTGACACTTGCTTTGTTGCCTCATTCAGAAGGATAAAAGCTAGTAAGGCTCAGAACTAGGGTGATGTGTACTTCTCTTTTTTCGGAGGAAGCAAGTCTCCAGTTATATTTATGGACACTTTAAAAAAAAATTTTTATGTGTATATGAGTGTTTTGCTTCCGTGTATGTTAAGAGCACCAGTGCATGGAATGCCCACAGAGGCCAGAAGAGCATGTCAGATCCCCTGGAACTGGAGTTACAGAGTTGTTAGCCACCAGGTGGTGGGTGGGAACTGAACCCAGGTCATCCCCAAGAGTAGCCACTGAGCCATCTCCTCAGCCCCTTATGGACACTTTAATTACCCCTTTAGGAGTCATGTCTTTCCTCTTTTGGGTTTATGGCCTGAAGTTTGATCCCTAACATCACTACTAACATTCACAGAACATATACACATCTACCAGGGTTTTTTTATTTTTTAATTATACTTATTTTCTATTGTATATGAAGCGTGTGTCTGGGTATGTATGCCACAACATGCATGTAGAGGTCAGAGAATAGTTTATGGGGTCAGTTCTCTCTTTGCACATTCATGTGCATTCTAAGGACTAAATTCAAGTTGCTAGACTTGCATGGCAAGCACCTTTACCTGCCTGTTGAGCCATGTTGCTGGCCTTTGTACTATTTTTCATTTTTTATTTTTGGTCTTTCTGAGACAGGGTCTCCCTGTAGCCCCAGCTGGCCTGGAACTTGCTATGTAGACTAGGCTGGCCTTGAACTCACAGAGATTCACTTGCTTCTGCCTCCCATGTGCTGGGATTAAAGTTGCATGCCACCACGCTTGGCTTCTTCATACTATTTTTTGAAGACAAATGTATTCATTTGCACATCCGTAAGAGACACAGTCAGCATCTCAAGTCACAGTGTAGCATATTCAGAAGGACATCACACCCAACAGCAAGTGACTAAACACCGGATTTCTGTTCAGGCTTCCTTTGCAGCCCTGTGCCCCAGTTATGCCAACACTCAGTGCAGCATTTGTGGATGAGAATTTGCCAGATGGGACTCACCTTCAGCCAGGAACCAAGTTTATCAAACACTGGAGGATGAAAAACACAGGAAATGTAAAGTGGAGTACAGACACAAAGGTATTTTTTTCCTATAAAATGTGCAGACAGAATGATTTAAATTGGCAAAGTACGTATCTGATAAGCTTTGTCTTGTTCTTTTCAGCTCAAGTTCATGTGGGGAAACTTGACTTTGGCTTCTACCGAAAAAAAAGATGTTTTGGTTCCCTGCTTGAAGGCTGGCCATGTGGGGGTTGTGTCTGTGGAGTTCATAGCCCCAACCTTAGAAGGAACATACACTTCACATTGGCGTCTTTCTCACAAAGGCCAGCAGTTTGGGCCTCGGGTCTGGTGTAGTATCATAGTGGATCCCTTCCCCTCCTCAGAAAGCCCTGATAACATTGAAATGGGCCTGGTCAGCTCAAGCAAAGCTGGTGATTTCACCTGTGAACAAGAGGTGAGCATTTACAGACTTTGGCCCCATATGCCAAATGATTACCTTAATAGTTAAGAATGTCAGACATGGAGGCGCATGTCTGTAATCCAAGCACTTAGGAAGCTGAGGCAGGAGGATTTCAGGTTTCGAGGTCAGCTTTTGCTATATAGCATACCCTGTCTCAAAGAAGAAGGGGGTTGGGATGACTAAAACCAAAAGAACCCATTCACAGATGGTGGTTTTTCAGAAAATCCTGAGAGCTTATGTGTATGTCACTTTTCCATCTCTGTAACAAAGTACGAGATAATTAAGTTGTGGTGAAAAATATTATAGTTCACAGTTTAGAGGTTGCAGTCCATGATTAGGTAGACCCATTGCTTTTAGACCTCCAGTTGGGGTGCCAGACTGCTAGCAGAAAACATATGGCAGAGCAAAAAGAGAAAGGGGGGCATGACAGTTTGCTTTGAATACGTGCCACCAATGAACTAAGGGCCTCCTATAAGGCCCCGCCTCCTAAACATTCAAACACTATGCCATGACTCTAGGGACCAAGCCTTTAACATGTGGGCTTCTGGGGATGCTTAAACCATGGCAGCTTCTCTTCCCCACACCACAGTTATATGGTGATATTAGGCCCAGTCTTCAGGGTGTATAATTGTCCTTAGGATCTTGGTCCTGGCTGTCCCTGAGTACTTTGACTCTCTCTGTAATGGTGCTTGCTGGGCAGGGAAAAGAAGGGCTGCCCAGCCTGTCCAGACCTGTGGAATTCCTGATAGCTTTTCTCCTTAGCATTTGTCTCCTAAAGTCTTCCTGTGTGTTCCTTAAGAACTTGCCCAACTGTTACTTGGTGCAGTTTTCAGTGTGTTTTGTTTTGTTTTGTTTTTTGGTCTTTTTGAGACAGGGTCTCCCTGTAGCTCCAGCTGGCCTGAACTCACAGAGATCTACCTGCCTCTACCTCCCAAGTGCTGGGATTAAAGGCATGTGCCACCAAACCTGGCCAGTATTTTTTTAATACAACTTCTTATTAATGTTTACTAGTGAAATTTAGGTAACCAGTGATGATACTGTCTGTGGTTAATGTAGTTGTATGGGAAGTTGGGCAAAGGGGTAGTATATGAACTCTTTCTGCAGCTTTCCTAAAAGTCTAAAATTAAATCATAGTTAGGTTTTTGTTTTTTTATTTTATGTGTATGAGTGTATTGCCTGCATGTATTTGTGTGCACCCTTGCTGTGCACTGCTGCGGAGGTCAGAAGAGGGCTTCGGATTCCCCTAGAACTGGAGTTAAGGACAGTTCATAGCCGCCATGTGGGTGCTGGGAATCGAACCGGGGTCCTCTGCAATAGCAGTCAGTGCTCTTAACCACTGAGCCATCTCTCCAGCCCCAAATCATAGTTTTTAATGTAGAGGTTCTGTTGTGTTTTTAGTTTATGGTGGCATTGTTAGCCCCATGCTTGAATTCTGTTGAGGGCCTAAAATATGTCCCAATGATTTGTCTCTGTAGGAAGCCTTTCTTCTAGCTAAAAAAGAAATTCCAATGGGTGAAGTGACTAAGCAAACAGAAGGGACAGGAGCCAACATCGCACAGAAGACAAAAAATGCTGCCAGCGAGAGGGAACTCTACATCCCGTCTGTGGACCTCTTGACTGCCCAGGTGGAACATTCAGTACTTTGAGGTCAAGGGACAGAAAGGGAGCAAGCCCTGAGTAGAGTTGTTACCTTGTTGTGGAGAAGGTGGTGTAGACATAGGTGGCTCTCAGGAGGTCACAGATTTGCATACTTGATCCAGTCAGTCAGATGGATTTAACCAGAATGAGATCATCCATGGGAGCAAGTTTCTAAACTGCTTCCTGTTTTGAATTGGAAGCTCAGTCTTCTTCCCCACGACTTTCCTTCTGTTACCTCTTCATTTTAGTCTGCCTCGTCTACATACCCACTGCATTTTCTCTTCTGCCTTTCAAACATTTGAGATCTAGTTCCCATTTAACTATTATTATTTTCACATGATTGAGGAAGGGCATTAATTGAAGAGAGTTGAATCAAGGTACTGACAGAAGTGGCCTGCAAACACTCTTAATTGAGCCATCTTTTTTTTTTTTTTAGGACCTGCTGTCCTTTGAGCTGCTGGACATAAACATTGTCCAAGAATTGGAGAGAGTGCCTCACAACACCCCTGTGGGTAAGAATGCTACCTGGCCCAGGCGTGGTGGCCCATGCCTTTAATCTTAGCACTTGGGAGGCAGAGGCAAGGCAGATCTCTGTAAGTTCAAGGCCAGTCTGGTCTGCATACTGAGTTCCAGGCCAGCTGGGGCTACAGGGAAACCCTGTCTCAAGAAGACCGAAAAAAAAAACAGCTCATCATGTTTATTTAACAGACACAAAGGTACTATAGCATCAGTGATAGTGCCAGTATTTCAGTCTGAGGAACTAGATCGCAAGGATGTCTCCCTTACTGTAGTAGTAAAGCTGTGCCCAAGCTCCATTTTGTCTGTCAGAAGCAACAACTGTGTTCAGGTCTTCCTTACCCTTCAGCCCTTTACATTTCATGGGTTTGTGTCTTGGCTTTGACCTTCTAGGCCAATTACTTGTTTATGATCCTTCCTGCATTGGTTGATCTGTTAGAGGTAATTGCATGCCTAGTGATCTGGAGAAATTCTTTATGACAGGTGGTGGAGCATATTTGGGTTTATTTTAACCCTGCAGGAAGCAAGAAACCTACCTAGTGCTTTGGACACTGACGGTTGATGATGTCATGCTTTCTCAGTTGATGGTTCTCCTGTCTTCATTCTCCAGATATGACTCCCTGCATGTCTCCTCTGCCACATGACAGTCCTTTAATAGAGAAGCCAGGCTTGGGGCAGATACAGGAAGAGAGTGAAGGGGCGGGATTTAAAGCACTTCCTGGTAAGGGGACAAATATCTATATGACATTGGCATCCTCTCTGTAGTGCACCCTATTTTTATACACCTTTTCCTCACTAACCTTACCTTAGCATGTAAGTTGATGTCCTGTGGTATCTTTTTTTTAGGGCTCCCCTCAGCACCAATAGCAGCTATTCCTTGACCTAGTTTTAGTATGCAATAGCTGGTGAAAGCTTTCAACTCAAGCACCAAGTATAGACAGGTCTGTGTGTCTTTCAGATTCCACCGTATCAGCAAAGAGTAAAGCTGAGAATACAGCTTCAGTGGAGGAAACAGAAGAAGACCTGAGTGGGACCCAGTTTGTGTGTGAGACTGTAATACGATCCCTTACCTTGGATGCTGCTCCAGACCATAACCCACCTTGCAGGCAGAGGTCCCTGCAGAGTGAGTATCCTTGGACTTTGATGAGCTAGCAAAGTGGCACCTGGATAATGAGATGTGCTCTTGCTCGCTGGGAGGGGATGGAAATTGATCTCAGTTGGAAATTTGGTTCACATTGGTTTCTTTTGACTGTGCATACTGTCTGGTCCCTCTGACCAGAACATCCGGAGCAAAGAAGCCACCTTAACTCATTTCTGCACTCTCTCAGGGGAATTACATCTGTACTCTACAGAGGAACAGCAACCAGTGCTGCCTGGATTCTGCAGAAAGGAGTCTTCCTGTAAGTTGGCAGAGTTCCTCAGCAGAAGCCTCCATTGGCAGCTAATTGTCTGCTTTTTCCCCACAGCAACAATATGATAAATGTGGGAAGACAAAAGTACCAAACTGTTTTCCCGGGTTAAATCCTGCTGTTACAGAATTCCTTCAGTGATGCTGGCAAAATAGCTCAGTTGGTAAAATGCTTGCCTTTCGAACATGAGGACCCGAGTTCAGTCACCAGTACCCATGTAAAAAAATCAGGTGTGGGGCTGGAGAGATGGCTCAGCGGTTAAGAACACTGACTGTTCTTGCAGAAGACCTGGGTTTGAATCCCAGCACCCACATGGCAGCTAGCAACTGTCTGTAACTCCAGTTCCGGGGGATCTGGCGGCCTCTTCTGTCCTCCACGGGCATTGAATGACATGGGTGCACTTACCTACATGTAGGCATAACACTCACACACATAAAGTAAAAATATTAAAAAATCATCCAGGCGTGGTGGCGCATGCCTTTAATTCTAGCACTCAGGAGGCAGAGGCAGGTGGATCTTTGTGAGTCAAGGCCAGCCTGGTCTACATAGTGAGTTCCAGGACGGCTGGGGCTACAGGGAGACCCTATTTCAAAAAAGACCAAAAAAAAAAAAAAACCCAAAACAACCAATAAGAGGGAGGGAAAAAAAAAACGGCTGGGGCTACAGGGAGACCCTGTCTCAAAAAGACAGAAAAAAAAAAAAAAAATCAGATGTGATAGCATGCACTTGTAATTCCTACTGGGGAGAAAGAGACAGGCAGATTCCTGGGGCTCACTGGCCAGCCAGCCTAGCCTAATGAGCAAACTCCAGGTGTTGAGTCCCTACCTCAACAAATAAGGTGAATGGGTGGGCAGGGTAGTACACACCTTTAGTCCCAACACTTGGGAGGCAAAGGCAGGGAGAGCTAGCCTGGTCTAAATAGTTCCAGGCTAGCCAGGGCTACATAGTGAGGGCCTGTCTCAAGAAGGGAAAAAAAAGTGGATGGCTTCTGGGGAATGACACCCAAGGCTGACTGCTTCCTCTTCTCTGGCCTCCATACACATGCCTATGCCCATGTCCATGCCTGTACACTTACACACAAAGTACCTTCATAACAGAGACTGCTTAGTATCAAATTGGTAGAGCCAATACCATGTATCTCAAGAGCTATGTAAAAATTCAGTTTCTAATGAATAAAACTATAAAATTCAAGGACTGGGGAGATGGTTCATTGAGGTTCAATCAAAAAATAAGGTAGAAGGGCTAGAGAGATGGCTCAGCAGTTAAGAACACTGACTGCTCTTGTAGAAGACCAGGGTTCGATTCCCAGCACCCATAAGGTGACTATCAATCATCTGTAACTCCAGTTCCAGGGGAATCAACACCTTCTGAATCCTGTGGATACTGCACAACATGGGTGCACTTATACACATGCAGGCAACACACTCATACACTAAAACAAGGGAAGGAAAGGAAGGGAGGGAGGGAAGGGAGGTAGGTGGATAGAGAGCGACACTTGATGTCCTCTCTGGCTTCCACATGTGCACACATGGGCATGTACACTTGTACACACTCAAGTGCATGTAGGGCATGCACACAAAACACAGAAAAAATGAAATTTGACCTATGCCTTTGAATTGTCCTACTTTTGCTTAAAGTGAGCATACATATCTGTATATTTTTTTCAGCTATGTCCAGATATCAAGCAGAAAAGTGTGGAAGGACTTCCATCAAAATGTTCAGTTATTACTCTGGTGGACTCTTGGGGCACCTTTTTGTCTTCTCCTTCCCCATGGTTTTCTAGTGTTCTGTTCTGACTACATCACATTTGTAAGAAGGAGAGCAGCCATAGAACCCTGAAGTGCTTCCCACCTTATTTTTTTTTGGAGACAAGAGTCTCACTAGGTGTACCAGACTAATCTTGAACTCAAAGAGATAAGCCTGCCTCTGCCTCCTGAATGCTGGGATTAAAACACCACCATGCCAGACCCTGACTTCTATTCATTTATTTATTATTGATTTTATAGTGTTATACATGCATGTATGTAAGTGCACCCATGTGCAGTGCCCACGGAGGCCAGAAAAAGGGCATCAGAGCCCCTGGAACTGGAGTTACTGACTGTTATTAGTCACCATGTGGGTGCTGGGATTCAAACTAGCGGCCTTCTGCAAGAGCAGCCAGTGCTCTTAACCACTGAGCCCTCTCTCCAACCTCCTGACTTCTCTTTTTTATAGCCCTGTTATTTAGCTTACCAGTTTTGATACGAACTTTATCTCAGTATGTTAACTATCGTACCAAGAGAATAAGAACTGTAAGATTCGTAGTGCTCATTGGAAGCCTGGCTCTTTCTGCCTATCTTATTTCTGTGGGCTTTGGTTCTGTTTGTTTTGGCATGGTCTTCAAACTTAGAAATAGTTGTGGTTCCAGCAGCAGCTCTTTACTCAGATTCTTCCCACTCCTATTTTTGTAGAACTACTCATGATCCACAGAGCTTTACCAAGTGAGACTATCACTGAGGATTGCCATTAAGCTTTTAACTTCTTTGTTGCTTTTGTCCTTCAGTGAAATTTGCCTTGCCTGAAGAAGGACCACTTGGAGATGAGAAGGAAGAGATTGTCCACATTGCTGAGGAAGACGTAATTGAGGAAGAAGAGGAGGAACTCCAAGATGAAGTTCATAGTCAGTCCTCTGCTTCCTCCGAAGACTATATCATCATCCTGCCTGAGTGCTTTGATACCAGCCGTCCCCTGGGGGACTCCATGTATAGCTCTGCACTCTCACAGCCAGGCCTGGAGGGAGAGGCTGAAGGAGAGCCTGGGATTGCGGCTGGGCAGGAACCAACTGAGGCTGGAGAGAGCCTCTCTGGAGGGGAGAGCCAGCCACAGGAGCAGATTATCAATGACATCCTCACAACCTCACAGACTCTGGAAACAGTGCCCTTGGTCCCTGAGGTGGTGGGGCTCCCGCCATCACTGTCCAGGTACCATCCAGCACCCTTCAGCTGTTGAATTCTTCAGAGGTGAAGTATAGAGTGGGAGGAACCAATTTGATCTCAAAACCTGTTTCTTCATCATACACAAAGAGACTATTACTGTAGTTTGAATTTAGCTGAATAAAAGTCATATTTCTCAGCATTTGTGAATTGGGGATTTAAAGAAATACTGTTTTAGTGGACTTTAATCATTTAAGACTAGTCTGTCTACTTTTTGTTATTGTTAATGTTTTGGTCTTTTTGAGACAGGGTCTCCCTGTAGCCTCAGCTGTCCTGGAACTCACTATGTAGACCTGGCCTTGAACTCAAAGAGATCCATCTGCCTCTACCTCCTGAGTGCTGGGACTAAAGGCATGCACTACCATACCTGGCTCTTTGTTTTTTTGAGACAGGGTCTCTCTGTAGCTTCAGCTGGCCTGAACTCACTGGGTAGTTCAGGCTGGCCTACATTTCACAGAGATCTGCCTGCCTCTGCCTCTTTATTTTTTTTTTTTATTATTAAGAACCTTTTTAAAAAAAAAAAAAAAAAAATGAGACAAGGTCTCCCTGTAACCCCAGCTGGTCTGGAACTCACTGTGTAGACCAGGCTGGTCTCACCTGCTTCTACCTCCTGAGTGCTGGGATTAAAGGTATACCCCACCAGCCTGGCTTTAACCGTAATTTAAACCATTTAGGAAGCTAGTCATGTCCCTTTATCAGCATTACCTGATGTAGAGGGAAGTGATTGTATTGAAACCAGTCTTTGTAACTTAATTATGTCTAAAGAGGAAAGCTGGGAGTGGAACACAACCCTTTAGGGAAGATGGCCAAATCCACACACATGGAGATCAGAAATGTGAAGCCTCTGTGGAGAATTTGGCACTGCTGTGCTATGCTTACTGTTTCCTCTCATTGCCAAAGGTGCTTTTAAACTTACCTTCAATATTGTGTCTTTCTGAAAGGAGCCCTCCTTGTGTACAGCTTGCTTCCCCTGCAGTGGATTTACCAGTTACCATACCAGAAGTTTCTTCAGTCCCTGATCAGATCAGAGGAGGTAATGACAAGCCTGATCTTCACCTCTCTTCCTTTGTTTCTTTCTAATGGAAATCGGGTATAATAAGCTGTCCATTTTTGTGATCCTTGGTCTCTTTTAGGAACTTGCTCTTTTTTTTTTTGGCCTTTTTTGAGACAGGGTCTCCCTGTAACCCCAGCTGACCTGGAACTCACTATGTAGACCAGGCTGGCTTTGAACTCACAGAGATCCGCCTGCCTCTGCCTCCCAAGTGCTGGGATTAAAGTGTGTGCCACCATGCCCAGTGGAACTTGCTCTTTTCCTCTGTCTGTATTCCTCTCATACTCTTCTATTCTGTAGGTATTTATTGAGATCTGACAGAGGTAGGCATTGTGCTGTAGTAGAAAGACTTTGGGTTGGACCAGACCAATCTAGGTTCCAGCCTGTTTCCCTTTCCTCACCATAACACTGCAGCAGTTCAGCCAGTTGGTGATGCCTTATGGGTCAGTTTCTTACCTGAAAAGTCAGGACAGTGGCGCTGTGAAGTTGTGAGTAGGTCCTCAAAGTCACTTCCTCTTTTCGAAATGTCAAACCTGAAACTACTTGAGAACTAATATATCAGTATATTGGGATCATAGAATTAATTTTTTTGGTTGGAAAAAAAGTCACCTTATATTGCATTTCTAGACAGATAATAATCACTTAAGCCACCTACAGAACTTTCAAAAACTTAAAAAGAAAGAGAAAGACTTCAGACACCCTGATTAATTTGCACCTGCCTTGATCAAAGCTTTGCTTTGTCAGGAAACACTGGGTGCTTGTGGTTGCTGCATCTAACCAACAGCTCTTTTGCTTTTAGAGCCCAGAGGCTCATCAGGACTTGTAAACAGCAGACAGAAGAGCTATGACCACTCAAGGTAATGACCTTGTGCAGTCTCTTCTTCAGAATCAGGTGGATATGCCAGCATCACTTCTGCTTAAAATAGCCTCTCAGAGCATGTGCCCATCTTCTGAGCACATAAAAGGAACCCACAGTCCTTCTTATTCTTCTCCTAAAGCTTTGGAGCAACACCGGACAGAGAGCTAAAGATTATATTTAAAGTGTTTTCACATTCCAGACAACAAGAAACATCTACCCTAAAATTCACTTCCCCTGTAGTGCCAGAGAAGGCAGGAAGCTCAAGCCAGTGTGCACCTTGGTGGGTTTTCCTTAGACACATCTGGCTCTCTGGTCCCTGTCATCTCAGAGCAGTCTCCAGAAAAATTACATTTCCTTTGCCAGGCGTTTTCTCTGAGATGCAGACAGATTGTTGGCATCCCAGTGTATCAATGACCTCATTAATTTTCAGCGAGGACGGAAAGCTGGCATGATAAACAGGGTGGTGTGTTTCCTGCATTGCTCGTACCTCACAGCAGCAGAGCTGAGCCCTACATCAAACCAGAATTTATAGCAATGAAACAGTCACATCTCTTTTTGACATCTATTTTGTCTTTTTTTTTTTTTTTTTTCTCTTAAGGCTATCTCATTTTCTTTTGAGATTAGCATCCATGTTATTTTCTAAGCAGGTCATGGTTTTACTTGATAATTTGGTTTTCATCTGCAGGCACCACAATGGAAGCAGCATTGCTGGAGGACTGGTGAAGGGGGCTTTATCTGTTGCTGCCTCTGCATACAAGGCCCTATTTTCTGGGCCACCAATCACTGCACAGGTCAGTGTGTGGTTTATTTTCCTAAACCTCAACTCCTAACTCATCAGTGAAAATGGCAGTGTCTGTCTGCTTGAGTTGGCAAGTAACATGGCATGGACTGTATATAGATTTAGTCTTTAACACACAACACTGCTGTTCCTAGCTATATGCCTTTGGTCAAGTCACTCTTTGGAAGAAAGGAGAAAGATGTAATGTTTGTGGAAGACCTAGTAAGGGTACAGAATTGCAAGCACAGGTGCTGCAAGATGAGTAAGGTACAGGTTCCTACCAAACAGTTACAGGAAATGGGCAAAGTATCCAGTACAGAGTATGATACTGTGCCAGTGCTCAGACAGATGTGTTTCCACCTACTGGAACCAGAAGCTTCCTGGAAGGTAGTTTCTGAACTGAGGTCTAAAGGACAAAGCAAGTATTCCCCCAGGATAGAGCTATAGAAAGAGGGACCCGGGTTCGATTCCCAGCACCCACATGGCAGCTACAAAGCATCCTTAACTCCAATTAAGATTAAAGGCGTGCACCACCATGCCCGGCTATAATAAAATATTTTTTAAAAATTAAATAAATACTTTTTTTTTTTTTTAAATATAAAAATCTGGAGCTAAAGAGATGGCTTGGCAGTTAAGAGTACTGGCTGCTCTAGCAGAGGACCAGGGTTTTGATTCCCAGCACCCCCATAGCAGCTAAAAACTCTTAACTCCAGTTACAGGGGAATCCAACACTTTCTGACCTCCATAGGCACTGCACAGCATGGGTGCACTTACATGCAGACAATACATTCATACACATAAAATAAAAATAAATAAAATATTTAAAATATAGATACAGATATATCATAGTTAATGAAAAGATTTAGAAGTGCTGGGTGTGGTGGTGCACACCTTTAGTCCCAGCACTCAGGCAGATCTCTGTGAGTTCAAGGCCAGTCTGGTCTACATAGTAAGTTTCAGGCCAGCTGAGGCTACAGGGAGACCCTATCTCAAAAAGATCAAGAAAAAAAAAAAAAAAAGATTTAGAAGATTCACCAGATGGTGAATCTGGCCTGAAGAACAGAGTAAGAGAAAAGACCGACCATGTTTGAGATTTTATTTTAAGGCATGGAAGGGTTTTAAGGATGTGATTTAACATGATCTTTGTGAGATCACTGCTATAGTGTGGAGGTATGTTGGAACCAGTAAGGAAATCCACATGAAAATCTACATAGATGTGGAAATGAAGGGTAAAAGAAATAATTAAAATAGATGGGAATGATTAAGTGATTAAAAAGAGGGCAAAGATAAATCCCAAGCTCGGACTTAGCAGTCAGTAGTAAGTACCGTGCACTAAAAGAGGGTCCACAGTTATCCTCTGACCTTCACACAAGCACCATAGTATACTTATCCTCACAGACACACACACACACACACACACACACACACACACACATACACACACACACACACACACGCTCAGTAAATGAAGGAAATAATTTTTTAAAATATATTATGTGGCTAGGGGGCTGGAGAGATGGCTCAGTAGTTAAGAACACTGGTTGTTCTTGCAGAAGACCCGGGTTTGAATCCCAGCACCCACATGGCAGCTAACAACCATCCGTAACTCCAATCCCAGGGGATCCGACAGCCTCTTCTGACCTCCTCGGGCATTGCACAACACGGGTGCACTTAACCTACATGAGGGCAATACACGAATACACATAAAATAAAAAAATAAAATTTATATATATATAAAAAATGTGGCTAGAAGTAAATCTGGTAAGTTTTGCTTAGTGATGAGTTTACAGCATATCCAGATAAGTAAAGCTATCCCAAAGCACAGTTGAACGTGTACATCTGAATCACAGGGGAGATGGGCCTGATGTTGAAGTTTGAGAGTCACTTGCATACAGTTTCTAGCAGGAGTGAGATAGTCAGATGAGATTATCCAAGAAAAATAGAGAAGGCCAGAAGTAGCCACTAAGGATCACGGAAAGAGAACCCTACAAAGTCAAAACTCAAAGAGGAGGGGCTGGAGAGATGGCTCAGCGGTTAAGAACACTGGTTGTTGTTTGTTCTTGCAGAAGACCCAGATTCGAATCCCAGCACCCAAATGGCAGCTAACAACTGTCCATATCTCCAATCCCAGGGGATCCGACAGCCTCTTCTGACCTCCGTGGGCATTGCACGACATGGGTGTGCTTACCTACATGCAGGCATTACACGAATACACATAAAATAAAAATAAAATATTAAAAAAAAACTCAAAGAGGAAAAAGAAGAGTAAGCCACTGCTGTAACTTGGGAAATTTTAGTAAGGGCTGCATGCTCAAAAGTGTTAAATGCTACAAAGAGGTGTGACCAAGTGGTGGGGAATTTGGCAATTCAAGTGTGCCTCACTTTTCAGTAGCTGGCTGCACGGAAAAAAAAAAGGCGGCGGGGGGGGGGGAAAAGCTATTCTATGTAAGGCAGAAGGAGGCATTTATAAAGATGAATGAGCCTTAGGCTCAAGAGATGCCTCAGCAGTTAAGAACACTGGCTCTCTTGCAGAGGGACCTACGTTCAGTTCCCAGTTCCCAGCACCCACACGGTGGCTAACTATATGTAACTTTAGTTACAGGGGACCCTATCCCTCCTGGGGTTTACAGTGGTAAGGCTATTCTAAAATAAGCAGAAAGAGGAGCTGGGGGTATCTCATTGGCAAAATTCATGCCTAGCTTATGTGAGGCTCTAGGTTACATCCTTAGCAGCACACACAAAAGTTGGGCATAGGTATAGAAGAAAGTGAGACTGTTCAGTTTCATATAACTTCCTCATCTCTACGTACTCTCAACCATGGAAAGTACGCGTGTATCTGCATTCCATAAGTAAGACTGACACTCAGCACGGTTGTCAATAGTAGCAATAAGGTTTGAGCCTAAGCCTAAGTCTCTGCCTCAAAAGTCAATCAGCCAAGCATTGTTAGTATTTAAGGTCAGGGCCATGGCCCCAAGAGGGAATTTCTATAGATGAATGTTAGCTTCTTGTTAATGAAACCACTTCTATTTTGAGAGGGAGAAGGTCATGAAGACTGCCTACGATGTAATTTCCAAATTTTATATTTATAT